ACTAATGAAAGCTTAGAGTTAAGAAAGAAAATTCAGGCAGATTTTCTTAAGTTATTGTTTTGAGATGATTGTTTGAAGGATTAGTTGTCGTTGATGCAAGAAGATGTGATATTGTGTTGGAAAGACATTAATAAGCTTTATAGTTGGAACAGTAGATGACTTGAATCCATCATCTACTGTGCTTTTTTAGCCTAGATTTGGAAGCCAACCTCTTCACTTGGATCCCTCTCTTTGCCAGTGGCTTTATTTGATGTGGTCTAAACAATTTATCTTTCCGATTCAAAATTTCATTCATATTTCAGTGCTATTTCTGTTTATTTTCTGATATACATGAAGTCGATGTGCTCTAAGCCTCTAACAAAACACTTTTATTATATCAATTTCATGGAAGCAGCTTATCAATCTTCCAGACAGTTCGACCAATTCCAGGTACTGAACATATACCATTTACTATGTTTGTTGCTTTCCTTATACAATTTTTTATTTTTGGGTTGAAATTTGAGTGATGTGATCTTATAACTAAATAGAAAACCATATGATAAGTATGTTTTAAGCTAAAATGTAAAAACCTTGCATATATTGAAGTGTATCATTAGTGGTTTCTGACTCTGTCCCTTTTCTGGTGTTTTTCTCAATTATTTGTAGAGCTCTTAATAATCGGGTGTGGAAGATGCAACCAGCCACTGAATCCCCAAGTCCGTCAGTTCGTAAAGTCAATTGGCATGAAGCTAGAAACAGTAGATTCCGTATGTCTATCCAGCCCAGCTTCTCTTGTCCTCCTACAAGTCCTTGCTCTGTTGTTTTGGAATATTTGTGTTTTGTCTGTGCTTATTGATTTCCTCCCTGTTCTATCCAGAGAAACGCTGCATCCACGTACAACATACTGAACGAGGAAGGCAGGATTGTAGCTGCTGCATTGCTTCCTTATGGAATTACATCCTAAGATACTCATCAGTACCTCTAAACTTTTGTAGAACAACAAACTTTGAACAACTCCTCTATAGTTGAAACACAAACACTTTTTTTTTTGTCTATTGTTAATAAAAGGTTTAATACTCTTTGTTCGAAAGGAGTTTGCAAAAAAATCGAAATATCCACATTTCTATTTTTTAGGATGACCACATTATTACATAATTGAATTTTTTTTATGTTTCCCTGCTTTATTGAATTGAAGTTTATGTGAAAAATAGAGAACAGGTTCCTGCTTTATTTCATTGGTGACATGGAAAGTTCTCCAAGAACACTGAAAAACTCAGTGAATACCCTAACCACAAGTAATTTGTGATTAAAACGTAAAATAATACTGAAAAAAAAATGTTGAACCGAAGACTTTCTTCAGTGCGCCTTGCTTCTAGCCACGGTAGTCTCTCCATGTAACTGTTCAACTTATGTACTTAAATAACTAGTTCGACTTTCAACTTGAGTTTAACTGTTTTATTGGTCCTTGGTTTTCTCCTCTACAGATCATCACTTTGCACTTGCTTTCAGCTTGTATTGACTCTCGATGGTTCTTCTTGTCAGGTGAGAAGATTATTCGAGCTGGTAAAGTGTTTAGATCTCATCGAATACTCTTTTATGAGTTTGGAGAAGAAAGAATCGTCCCTCTCTAGCAGTTTTGCAGGTGAGTCAAACTCTGCGATTCGTCCTGCTCATGAAAAAGTGATTTAGACCTCATTACTAAATATGTATGTATGAAAACACAAGTATTGTTGGTCTTACCATCACTTAGAACCAGAACAAGATCGCTCTCGATCACTGTGTGGATTCTATGTGCTATAGTCACCACTGTTCGATCTTTAAATTCTTGACTGATGATCTTCTGTATCACACCATCTGTTGCGGAATCAACTGAAGCAGTGGCCTCATCGAGCACGAGAATGTTACTTTTCTTCAACAACACCCTCCCAAGACAGACCAACTGTCTTTGCCCTACGCTCCAATTTTCTCCATTTTCAACAACTGTTCCATACATTCAAGAATCTTAGTTTTCATAGTCCTGAAATTTTTTAAGCTATATTGTTTCTCATGATGATCTCAGAAAACTCACCTGTAGCATCCAGCTTCTCATCCTTTCCACGAATAACTTCTCCTAGTTGGCATTTATCAAGCGCCTAAGATATTAACCATTGTATTAGAATGCTTTCTCAAAGTCAATCAAAGAAGAATTGCAGAGGAGATTTTGTAGTTATTTTTTACCTCCCATATTTCGCGATCAGTGTGCTGAGACAGAGGGTCTAGATTCACTCTGACAGTTCCATCAAACAGTGCTGGATCTTGAGGAATAATCCCAAGTCTTGATCTCAGGTCATGTAGACCAATCTTTGTAATATCAACATCATCAATAACTATGGTTCCTTGACTTGGCTCAACAATCCTAAATATTGCCTGAATCAAAGTTGATTTGCCGCTTCCAGTTCTTCCTACAACGCCAATCTTTTTCCCTCCTGGAAACTCACAGGTGATGTTCTTCAGGACAGCTGGGAAATGTTCTGCATACCGGACCTGGAAGAAAGACATCTCAGAATTGAGAATCTTGATTATTACAGATGTTTCTGTGAAGTGGATTATTAGTTTTCACAATCATATGTTCAAGATATCTCAGTAATGTATTACTTTCTTGTTTACCTGTAGGTTTCTGAAGACAATTGATCCAACATTTGGCCAGTTATCAAGAGGTTTATTATCATCAATTACTAAAGGTGCCTCACTTGGGATTTTGGAATACTGAAGAATTCTTTCTACAGAAATCATTTTGTTTTCTGCATTACATATGTTCCATATCACTGTCGCTTGTAAAACATTCAGACTTAGGCCATAAGTGACTCCAAGACCAGCAATGCCTGTAAGAAATTAAGTAGAACATGAAGTTTGAGTTTTCAATTATCCAAGTAGTAGATTAGACAATGTATTTGCTAATTTTATGATGCATGAGACTTACTTGGATTGATGACACCTTCAGGGAGAGTCACAAGTAACACCAATGAAAAAGCAAAGACAAAATGAGAAAGCAAATTAAGTCTGAAGGAAAGCCACTCCATTGCTGATGCCACATGGAACCATGGCTTTGAATGGTTATCTATGAGACTAAGGTTTGAGCTAATGAAGCGATCTCGTTGATCAAAAGCGCGTATTGTTGTGGCACCAGCAAGCGATTCAGCAAAATGGTGGAGGATTGGAGCTCTTTCTACTCCGGACATGCGTGACAGTTCTCTTGCGGTTGGTGTGTAGTATCTCTGAATAAAAACAAGTAATAAACTTAGCAAGACTTTCTTTTATCATGCATTGACGCTAGAATCAGTTTTTTTTTTTTTTTTTTCTCTTACCTGGTAAAACACGCAGGCTACTGCTACTGGAATGAAGATGACACAAACTTGCCAAGCAACTTGAGACATTACGAAGATCGTTCCAACAATCTGAATGATCGAAAAAGCACACCAACCTAGTTTGGTTGCCATTTCCAAGTCCAGAACGCTTTGATCTGTGGATGCCTATTATTGAACATGAAAAAGGTTATGTCACATATATAAGTCTTGATTGATAAAGAAACCATATATTTTGTTGGATTGATTCTGGTCACTCACTCTGTTCAAGATTCTTCCTGTTGGAGTCGAATCGAAAAATGACATGGGAGCTCTGAAAATGCTGCAGAGCATCCTTGAGAAGAACTTCTCAGCTGTTAAAAGTCCACCTATCGCTACTAGAATAGTCCTTGCTAAAACACAAAGTGAACTTCCTGCAGCAAGAAGTGCGTAAACAAGTAAAATCCGATCCATCCCGAACTTTGGTTTGGATTCAGAAGATGGAGGAGCAGTCCATGCCATCCAGTAGTTGCTAGCAATCTGCAGCATTTGGAAGCAAGACTGAGCCAAGATTATGAGTGGCACAAGCAACCCGCCTTTTACCGTTCTCAAATACGCTAAGTAAACTTCTTTGCCAATTACTCCTTTCTCTGTTTCTTCATCTTGTACCAGCTTTGCTTCCTTCTTTTTGTTCTCTGTTGAGATGTTATGCTCTGAGTCACACTGTGCTTGAAGGCTCTCTGCAATTGATGCTGTTTCATCTTTGGATTCATCTTTAAAGTTTCTGCTTGACTTTTCAATTGATAGGATTGACTCTAGTGCTTCGTTATGAGCTCCTACAAGAACTTCAAAACCTATGTTCTGCTTTAGAAGCTCTTCGAATCTGCCTGCTTGCATCACTCTTCCCTTTTGCATCACCTAGTATAGTACACAGACTAATGTAAATGGAAACTAACAATTTCTTTGGAATTTGCATAGTTAATATAAATGGCGGTTTCGCTAACCAGAATGAGATCTGCTGCTGGAAGAAACTCGACTTGATGGGTAACATAAAGGACTGTTTTTTCTTTCAGTATCCCCATTAAGCATTCCTACAAAACCATCAAAACATTATCATTTTCAGTTGTGGATTTTTGAAATGATTAAAGAATGCAAAGTTGATGAGTATACCTCAAAGAGTTGTCTTCCTGTATGTGCATCAACAGCGCTAAAAGGATCATCGAGTAGATATATATCAGCATCCTGATAAACCGCACGAGCAATCTGTATCCTTTGCTTCTGACCTCCACTCATGTTTATCCCTCTCTCACCAATCTCTGTCATGTCTCCATTAGAGAACAGCTCAAAGTCCTTTATCAAAGCACATGCTTTAACAGTTCTCTCATACTTCTCGCTTTCATAGATGCTTCCAAACAGAATGTTATCCCTTATAGTCCCAGTTAGTATCCACGGAGACTGAGGAACGTAAGCTTGTTTACCGCTGACTCTGACTGCTCCTTTCAGCTTCTGAATCTCCCCTAATATGCATGAGAGTAAGCTTGATTTCCCTGATCCTACAGCTCCACAAATCGCCACTTTCATTCCTCGTTTTACTCTCAGTTCAATCCCATCGAGAGTTGGTCTGCTTGCCTCAGGTTCCCAGCTGAATGCTCCGTTTTCTATTTCGACACTGAAGGCTGCATGATCCTTTGAAGAATTATACTCAACTGCATCTTTCTGAGTCTCACTTTGTTGAAGGTAGGAAGCGATTCTATCTGCAGAGACCTTGCTTTGAACTAGAGCAGAGAGGAGATCAGGTAAACCAAAAATCGGACTTTGTAACATTTGAAACGTTGCAAGAGCAGATAAAACTGCTCCAGCTGTTAGCTTCACTCCAATTAGCATACAAGTAACAAAAGTCACCACAGAGATCAAAGCAGGAGCTCCCCAAAGGATGAATGTTGTGAAAGCTTGTAGCCTCAAAGATTTCCGTAGACAATCATACTCTTTCTTTCTCAATCTTTTAACCTTGTTGAGAAACTGGTTATCCCAAGCTTGAAGCTTTAGAATCTTCATGTTTTTAAGAATCTCTGAAGTTGCTTTCATTCGATCATCTTTGGCATTCATGATATCTGATTGGTAGTTTCTCTGAATCCTTGTCAGTGGATAATTGCAAGCCATCACCATTAAAGTTGTGACCAATGCAGCTAAAGCTCCAAGTCCCAGATGTTTTTGCAATATAAAAATCGCTGAGAAGATCTGAATAGGTAACATCCATATAGTGTTTACATACCAGATGAAATCAGTGATTCTCTGAACATCTACACTCATGTAGTTGATGATCTCTCCGCTCGTGTGGCTTTGCCGAGATTGACTCGATAAAACCAAACCTTTTTGGTATATATGTGATATCAAAGCTGCTCGAAGGCGTAGTCCTAGCTGACGAGCTCCAAAGATCCATTGTCTTTGAGTAACCGTCTCAACGATCTTTGCACTTAGAAAACCAAGTGCAAGAAAGTAACCATACTTTAAGCTCTGGTCTTGTTTCTCGGTTAAAAACACCACAAAGTCATTGATGAGATATGGTCCGATGTAAGCCGTACTCGCGTTTACAACTGCAAATACCGCGTTGATCGCTGCTTTCTTCCAGACAAATCTAAGAACCGACTTGTAGAAGAAAGCCTTTCCGAGTCCTTCTTCTTCTATGGTGGTTTTCAGTTTCTTGTCAAAGGCTTGAGAACAAAATTGAGCGGAATCTTTCACATCGATGTCTGGTACATCGTCTTTTTCGAGAGGTCTCTTGTATCCAAGGGAGAACAAAGGGTTGATCCATGAGAAAGTGATGCGTTGGAAGAGAGTAGCATTCCCATATGGAGAAGAAGAAGAAGAAGGAGAATCTTTCTTGCTATGTTCTGTTTCGCCACCGAGTAGTAACGGCTCTGTAATTTCGCTGGATTCAAGAAGAGGGAAACCAGTCTTTCCTCTGATTGAAACAGCCAGCAAGAACAAGGATGCAATAACACCAGTCAAATCGCAATAATCCTGAAACCCGAGGGGTTCGTGTTTCGCGGTTATGAACTGAGCATCAAAGGCAAAGGATAAGATGAAACTGCAGAGCCACCACAACCTTAACATCCAAGAAAACTTAACAAGACTCCTTTTCCTGATCTTCACCACATAAACAGAGATGATAAGCCACGAGAAAGCCTGGGAAATCTCTGCGGAGAAGACAGAAACAGAGGAATCACACCGTGACACCACGCTGTCTCGAAACAGCGAAAGCAAGATAACGCAATGAGCCCCGAAGATCGACACAGAGCAGACAAGAGACAAGCTGTAAGAGAAGCTCTGCTTCACGGTTATGCTCTGCTTCTTCAAGTCTTCTACAGCATGATCTCCTCTGTTTCTCACTACACCAAGCCAAATCAGTGTGAAATGAATAACAAAGAAAGCGAAGAAGGCAACTTGCATACTGATGCTTATACGTTCCTTCAAGCACACAGAATTCAGCTGCAACCATTGTGTTCTCAGGAGAAGATAACCCATCTCTGCTGCTCATATCAAAGCAAACACGATCAGATAAAAAGAAAGAAAAGTTTGAAACTGATAACATCTTTCGATTTCTAATATGAGGAGAGCAGACTGTTTATGTTTTGTGAAGCATTTTCATGATCATATACAGTAAGTTAGCAGAAAAGCAGAGACTTCAAGTTAAGATTTCAATTTTACCTGCAGAACCAAAGGGTCTGGACATAGCTTCTTCTTCTGTTGGGAAGACACGGGTCTTTGCTCGAAGAGTTTTAGAAACAAGCACTAGAGATGATTGGAGACGATCAAGTTCATGTTTTGTTTAGTGTTTTGCTTTCAAATGGAACTGTAGAAGCCGGAGGGGGAGAGAGAGAGAGTCTGTGTGTGGGGAATTGCTTGAGATGATAGTGACGACGAGTACCTCATCTGACAAGTGATGTCAGCTACAAAACAACAAAAAGAGAAACCACTATGAATGATCGATATGTTGGGGACATTGGAGAAAAACAAATTGGTTTCTCTTATTACTTACGGGACAACGTAAATTATACGCTCTCCATATCATAAAGCTACAAGTTTAATGTGTTTTTTGTTTTCCTCAAAAAGTTTAATGTTTTGTTTTGAAACTTTTTACAGAACTTAATAGACTGTTCTTATTCTAAAGCAAAATATTAGTTGTCTCGTATATAAACTCTAACTAATATTAAGAAAATAAACAAAAAGAAATATTATACAAATTTTGCATTAAAAATACTATACAAGTTGTCTCGTATATATAACTCTAACTAGTATTTCTATTTCTAATACAAGTTGAACTAAAGCCACATGATTCCTAATTCGTAGAAATTTGATTAGACTTGGTATTAGTGAAAGTTTTGTTGTTAAGCAATAAGGGGATGCACGTATATAGAAAACGACTTCCTTCTATGAGAGTTAGGCTCGAAACGTTTGGAAAAGAGTGAGTGATAGAGATTCCATTTCGATTCGAGTACAATGCACTCTGTCTTTTATCACTCAATTGTTGGTGGGCGGGACCATATATACTCGCGTGCGATATTACATCGTCTCTTATACATCTAGTTAAAAACATGAAATTACGTAAGTATTGTTACTTCTATACATATTGGTTAGATATTTGTTGTTTTACTACCACACGATTCTACGAAAGTGTAGTATTACTTACTAAAAAAGGTTGCTTAAATTATATATATATATATATATATATATTTTTTTTTTTTTTTAAATTATTATATGTGAATTTGTTTCATATTAATCACTAAGTGATGTGTATTATTTTTAGAACAATTTTCAAATGGTAATCTGTTAGCTAGTAATAGCGATTGTCACTTGAAGATATATAATTTTCAAAATGATCATACTTGCACGAAATTTTGCGTAAACACTTTTGCATTGTTTTCCGATTTCAGAGTAAGTTTTTAACTTGAAAATATATAAAAACATTAATAATTTGGTTATAAACACAAATATTTGTTAGATTTTTATAGTTTTACTGTTATAGGTTATAATTATAATTGCATTCTAACCTCGTGTATCTGTACGAGAATATTTTTTTATTGTTTAACAAATTTTGTAATATAATTTATGTTTTTGAGTTTAGATATAATTATGTTTATAAATATATTTTTAGTAAGTGAAAATATTGATTTTTGTGTTTAGATATATTTTTATAGTATTAAAATTCATTATAATTATAAATATATAATTTTAACCTGTCCGCTAATATTAATTCAAAATGAACTATTATAAAAACATAATTCTAACTTTTCCGTTCATATTACCGTATAATATAAATATTTGTTAAAAGTTTGAGATGTATTAACAGTATTATTTAGTATTATAGTTTTTTAAAATTTAATCAACGAAGGGAGTATACAACTGGTTTTTCAAACCACATTATAGTGTATGTAATAATTTTTATTTTTTTTATGTTTTTATTTTGTATGAAAAATATATTTTTGATACACATGTATAATTCAAAATTAGTGATTTTAGTTATCAAAATATTTTTAACCCGGTTTTTATATATAATTTTAGTTCTATGAATTTTAAAAAATATATTTTTAATATTTAAATTATATATTTGAATTTTACCTGTTATTTTATTATTAATTTGTAAATAAATCATAATCGTAAATATATTATATAAGCAACATAAACATTATATCATTTACATCATTATAAATATTTTATATTTCAAATATGACCAATTATTTTTTATATGTGAATTATTTTTTCTTTTAAAAATTCTAGATATTTTTGATAAAAATGTTTAATAGTATAGAAATTATTTAAATTAGAATCTTTAAATCAAATCTAAATTAATATCTGATTTATTATTTTTAATCAAATCAAATCAAATCTAAATTATCTATATTTAAGGAACTCTAAAAATATTTAAATTAATAACTAATTTTCGAAATTAAATATAAATAATTATTAAAATTATTTTTAAACACTTAAAAAAAATTAGGAGTGTTTGGAAACAAGTACAAAATGTGCTTTTGTTTTAATATAATAGATATTTTTTTAAAGTTCTATATTTTAATGCCGACAAAAAATCAATATCAATTATTTTTTAATTGTGATCAAAAGTGATTTGGAAATATTCAATCTTCACCAAGTACCACCACTAATTGTTGCAATGTAAGCGTGGAAAGCATATAGTCCAATAAAGTTGATCACAGCTAATTCCTTAAATAAAATATTTTGACTTCCTAACTATCAATATTAACTATCCTCCCATACACATACACATACACATATATAGAGGTTGTCATTATAATAGTATACGCATTTTCGTGTGCAAGATTCATAACATCAGACTGGAGATGCTTAATAGGTCTATAAAAGGAAAAAAAGAAAAGGATATGTCATGTAATATATTAGTCGGTGAATTTGGTCCATAGTTGAGTCGAGATGCCGCTGATCACAAGAATACTCCAGCGAAATAGCGACAAAGATTCTTGATAAAAGCGTCTCCGATCTTTATCACTACTATCTCTTCATTGAATTTGATGGATTTAGTCGGTCTTATCAGGGGCCGGACGGACTTAACCGGTTTTGCTAGAACCGATCTGATCTTATAAGTGTCGGTTTACAAAAGTTTGGTCTTCTATATACGTGGATCTCTAAATCTTTTTTTTTTTTTGCTTTCGTCAAACGTATATATTTTTTTTCTTTTTATGATCTCCATAGACCATAGTATGTGTGTCTTAACTCTTAAATTGAAAAAAAAAAAACAATATATAAAATTTAAATGTCTTGTCTTCTAACAAAATGTGTAGGCAGTTGGCATATGTTTAGTGATTTCCACGTGAGTTTCTTGGCTGTTTCGGTCCTATTTTCTTCTTATTGTTTGTTTATTGTTTAGCTACGTCTTCGACTTGCCTTTTCTTAACTTTGGAAAAAGACAAATCCATTATAAAAAGACCTATCTCCCCATTCAGCTTCTAAAAGTCCGTGATTATATAGCAATCAATAAGAGCCATTCATGGAATTTCTTTTTACTTGCCACATTCGTTGCACATATTACCAATTACATGAATTTAAGATTATAGTGCTGGAAGTGATATACTAGTGTAACCTTAAATTCATAAAAGGGTTGGTTGTCTATGAGAATGACCCAAAATGAAATGAACGTGGACCCAAAAAAAAAAAAAAAAAGAAATGAACGTGGACGATAAAAATAAAAATTATTATTGATTGTTAGTTTGCTTCATATGAGGGCTTGGATATACTGAAATCAGATGAAGGCAGAAGTTCATGGGCCGATCTCATCTACTCTATTTATTTTTATTTTTTATCAAAATCATTTCCCATCTTAATCAACGACTCACACACGTAAATCGGTAAATGTAAAATGTCATATTTTTCGACCACAAAAAAATAAGTAAAATGTCATACTTATTGTAACACTCTAACTACCTAAAAACTAAGTCAAAATAAAGTAGTATTTGGAATATCATCCACGAGTTACATTCGAATGATTCTTCGGGCTACATATAAAAAGTAAATTTAAGCGTGTGTCCAGTAGTATACCTCGAGTTATTTTGTTTTCTTTTCTAAATGATTAAAAATAATTTGGATATGCAGGTAATTAAACATAGTAAAGGCCTCGATTTATTTAAAATTTCTTAAAATTTTATTTTATACAAGAAAATCATCAAATCATGTTGTCAATCAGGAAACATTGAATTCGAAATTAGAGAATACGTAGAATCTGACGGGGATGGTTCATCGAAACTCTTTGTTGCTGAATAAATCGATCACACCGGCCGGAACAAACAGTAAGAGCAGAGGATTCTCCGGCGGTAAAGGAGGAATCTCAGCTCTACACAACGGACACGTCGACATTTCACCGAGCCATGGATCGATGCATTCGGCGTGGAAGCAGTGACGACACTTCGTCAATCGCCTCATCTTCTCTCCTTCCTCTGCCTCTTGTAGACACACGGCGCAGAACGGCGGAGACGAGCGATCGTTCGTTGCCGCCGTGAATGTGCGGTGGCGACGCCAGGGACGTCTGACGAGGAAAGCTGCAAATCTTAAGAAGAGACGCAGAGAGAAGACAGCCACGAAAGCAATGAATATGAAATCGGTTATGATATGTAAGAATCTAAAGACAGCTTGAGCCAACATCATCCAAAATCTTTAAAAAAAAAAGAAAAGCTTATGGAGCAAAACAAAAATATAGTTTTCAATTAGTAACAATTGAAGAACGAACCAGAAGCTTTTTTTTTTGTGGTGTAAGTTAATGTATGTATCTGTGTGGTAATCTAGATGAAATGGATAAAGTGATAGTTCAATAATTTAAATGACGGAGTCAACAGCAATTTTGTTTAAATGTTAACTTCTAAAAGTCTTTGCGAGTAATAAGTACGTAGTACTAATCAAATTACTCAAAATATGTTTTCAAGATCATAATCAACTTCGTGGATTAGGAAACCTGTTATTATTAAGACAACCTTATAAGTTCCTAACTAAAAAGTGATGATTACCACGAAATTGTGGATCTGTTATAATGACAACATGTTAAATGTAGAGATACTTACACAAACATAAACATCTGTAGACTTAGTTACGTATACGACAAGGCAAGTGGATTTGGAAGTCTCTGTTTTGTTTTATTCGGCGAGACATGTGTATGTGGTGCTGACCAAGACAAACCAAAGAGTAAGATAACTGATACAAATATTTACGAGGACTACTATACAGAAATCTTCTTGTTCAGGTGATCACGCGCTTCACCTTCTCCAGTTTCAGATGCAAATAGATCTTTGACTGCCTCGAAAACCTCTGCACTCGGTTTTGCAGCACTGATCTGTAAGAATCCGAAATAGGAAATTAAAAACAACGTGTGATAGTAATGATCATGAGGAGGAGAATCAAATCCTAACCTTCCGAAGTTTCCCTTTAGATTCATAGTAGCTAACAATAGGGAGGGTCGATTCTACAAACACTTTAAATCTCTTCTTTATCGTCTCAATATTATCGTCTTCTCTTCCCTTCATTACCAAAAAACAAGATGGTAAACGAGAAATGGGACCCGAACTAGACATCCTTTTCGGCTAAGATACTAACCTGGTTCCTGTTCATAATGCGCCTCTCTAGTTCTTCTTCAGGACAATCAAAGAACAGAACAAAGGCAGGCTCGATTTTAGCCTGTCAAAGATCCAGAAATTATCAAACCGAGGCTTAACGAGAGAAATTAGGACTCGATTAGACTCTTATAGGCATCAGCGAGAAGACAATAACGTGAGATCCTTACAACATTTTCGAATACTATCCGATTTTCTTGATTGCGAGGGAAACCATCAATGAGGAACTTATCATTTCCACTCTCCTTCATAGCTTCACACAAAAGTTTCACAGTGATCTCAGAAGGCACAATTCTCCCTTCTGCAATCATGCTTTGGATCATGGCTCTGAAATAATCCAGACCAGTCATCATAAGCCTTAGAAAGAACAAGATCCGCTTCGTGGGATATGATTCAGCAACTAATTTGAGATTCAGTGAAGCAGAACTTACCCAAATTCAGAACCAGAGCTAATTTCTGCTCTGAGAAGATCACCAGCACTCAAATGGGTATATCCAAAGTGCTCGACAACATTAGCACACTGAGTGCCTTTTCCACTTCCAGGACCACCTGAACTCAAACCATTCAAAACCATAAGATTCAATCTTCAAGCATGATTAGAGAGAGTAAAGCATGATTACACAGAGTGAAATTACTACCCAACACAAATACCACGGTTGATTTTTGCCACCTAGGGCTCTCATGATCGTCCTGTAACCAAGAAATAGGCAAAAAACCAGATTTTATTGGTTGCAGTGACAATGAAATTGGGTTCACAGGTGAAAATGATACCTTAATCGGAGCATCAACAAGAGTTTCCATGATCAGCTACTATGCTTGATCCACTGATACTATCTGCGTGTATCAAAAAGCAAAAACTCAAAATTAAATTTAGTCGCATATTCATATCAAGGATATACTAAAAGCAAGCTCCATCACTAACGATTACATAGAACTCGAAAGACGATGCGACCCTGAATCAAATCACGCACAAGTTCGACGAGTCTCGATGAAGAGAGAAATTTAGGAAGAACAGCCTTAGTCAGCGGGCGATTTCTTCATGAAACGGCACGCAGTTTTATATTCCCAACGTGGCCAAGTTATAAAAACGTCACAAAACAAAATAGCTGTCAAGTGAGACGACACAGCGTTTTTAATGACAGTCAAGAAATTGATATAGCGTTCTTCTGATACTAGTATCAATGGCGCGCAGTCTACTATCTGCCAAGGGAAACAACATCGCGTTTTGTTACGATTAGACGGCGCGCATTTTCAATATCATTCTACATGTTCCAACGGGTATGATAAACGGCGCGCATTTTCGTCCGCTCTTACGTAAAACGGCTCACAGTCTGCTATCCAAAACGCTTTCAAGAAGCAATCAAAAAGTAAATTTCACAAAACGTCCCAACAGGGTCTCTCTGATGATAATATTAATACATACAAACAGTGTCAACAAACAATATTACAAGTCAACGAACACTATCAACACACGAACTTTTAGTCTCTAATCACGGAAACATTCACCAGAGACAAACATGAAACACTCAACACACTTGAGCAATATCATCGTACCCAAGCAACAGCATCAATCTCATCTCTCGCTTTCTTATATAACTCAAGCCTTTGCGCGCACTCTAGTCTCCTACCCATCAGTGCCGGATCTTCATCAAGTAACTGTCCCAACTGTTTCCCCTGTGACAAATTCCCCGACCAAATATAAGATTTTGCAAGCAGATCACATAGTCCAAAAAAGACTTGAGACAGTTATATTACAGTTTAGTTTTTACCTCTCTCTTGCTGATCTGACTGTAGAAATAGTTGAGCAACGCGAGCTTGGCTTGCCTAACCTGACAATAAACACAAGCTTTTGGGATGGTGTTGCGTAGTGTGTCTGAAACCATGCTGACATACGCGGATACATTCGCTGCTATTCTTCTGAAATGTCCTTCTCCGTATTGGTCTGGTGTTGCGGGCGAAGGAGAAGCGGCTTGGTTTTTGTTGCTGATTACTGGCCTTTCCATTTCTTGAGGAAGTTTCCGGAAGAAATCGGCTGTTAGATACGCAGATTCCATGTCAACAAGTCGAATAACCGACTTCTTGCTTTCTTCCCTGAATTTCTCCAAGGAGCTGTTGGCTGCTGCAGCTAGCTCCACTTGCAGCGACGGGAAACGCCTTAACTCCTGTTTTTTTTTGCAACCAAAAGAGATTCAGTAACACCTTCTTTTTCTTTCATGTAACCAATCTTGAGAAAATGAAATAGTTTGAAAAAAAATCTCACCTCAGTTTCTGCGATTGACTTCCTAACAAGCTCTTTCAAGACAAAGTGAACCTGTTGAAATTTGCGCTAAACTCATTAGTAAATATAAAAAGTGAAGCTAAAGAGACTGTTATAGTGTAGAAAGAACTTACAGCATCCACAGAAGCTTCGGCTGGACCTCTAAAGTAACCAAGCGCGCCTTCGATTAGACGGCGATAACCCTGTTCTGGTGCAATCAAGTGAGGTTGATAGCCATCTGCTTCAGACACAATTCTCTTCACACTTTGAAGTGAAAGATGACGATCAAAAGGAAGCTTTTTAAGTGCAGCTGGAAGTTGGTTGTCGAAGACTCCATAGATACGGTCACCTCCAGGACGCCTAAAAAATGTAACATTAAGTTTTAGAAAAAGGATCAATAAACTTAATCCACAAGGAAAATCAGTAATGATGTTTACCCTCCATCCAGATGTTCCTTGAATATCTTATCAAATGCACGGCACATCTCCAAAATAGTGTACAGTTGAGCCTAAGAATGAGACCAACAGATTTAGTCCATAGCAAAGAAGGTAAAAACTTCATCAAAGAGAAAATAGTTTCACTTAGATGTACTCTTTCTTACCCCAGCATCAACAGCGACAGGCCTACCCATTCGGTCTAACTCTCTTTCAAGTTCCTCGATGCTTTTGTTTATTAATGATAGGATACTTGGAATACGGGACCTGATAACAGACTCCAAGTGCTGTAAATTGAAACAGAAGACCATAGAAACAATGAATTAAACCATATGATAAAAAAAATCTCAAGCCTTTCAGGTTTTGATTGAACACCTTAGATAGCAGCTTTGCCAGATATTCTGAACCCATTTTGCTGGCTAGGTGACCATAGTCAGGACTCGTGTCAAAATACTCTCGCTCTTTTCGTCTTGCAAGCATCATATCGACATTCTTATTAATATCCGCTTGTGAACGGTTCACTATCCCAACCCAAGGATGTTGCAGCCTGTATGATCTTCCCTCGAGAACCTTGAAAAGGCAAGCATTTCTATATGTTAGATCAAATTCCTCCAAAGAGATGAAGTGTAAGCATTATTCCAAGATTAGCTTGCCGAGGATAATATGTCATAAAACACTCAAAATAGAGTAAGCATTATTCATTAATGTAGACCAGAACACGTGAACCAAAAGAGATGAAGCGGTGCTTACTTGTAATGCATTAGTTCCTTTGTCCATCAAGTCTAGCTTGGTAAGAACACCAAATGTTCTCTCGCCTGGGAGAATCAAACACTTATTCCATCATTAAAATGACAATAGTTTCTCCCAAATATATTAACCGCTTGCAACAGAGCAACAAACAAACCTGTTGGATCCACTTCTTTCGCGAGCTTGATTGCATCTGATGTAGCAATGTCCTGGTTGGCAGGAGAGATTGCTAATATGATACAGTTGGGCTGCAAAACAATAGAATTAACTGACTTGGTACTAGAAAAGCAGATAGAGCCCGGGCAGACGAGAAATGGTTAGCCAAGGATTTATATATGGTTTTGCATTTGTTGAATGATTCAAAAATTGAACAAAAAGGTGCACATGCTCAACATCAGCTTACAAATTACTAGAAATTCTCACCTTATCAACATATGTGCGAACCATGATTTCGATATCCTCAACAATGGTTTCCGGCTGTCCCTCTGGAAATCAAAGAAAAAATCAAAGAGCTTCATACATCCATCAAAGTAATAAAGAAACAGACACCCAGAGAAAGAGTTGAAAAAAAATCATACCAACAGCCACTTTAGTTAAACCGGGTAAATCAACAAGAGTCAGATTCACAACTGTTTCCCATAAAAAAACACAACAAAAGAAAAAGAGCACACATGAATGTTAGTTCTAGAAACAAAAGTGTTACAGGAAGTCAAAATCCAGAGATTGTGTTTAAAGCAGACCATTTGGAGAGAAGATACTGAGGTGAATGGGAACTGGAGAAATCTGCTTGCTCTTCCCTGTGATTCTATCAGTCTCATCCTGAATCTCCTTGCGAACCAAAGCTGCAACCATCAAAAAAAATTCAAGCAAAGCTCAATGAACACCAATTTTGAAGTTAAAAGACAAAACATAAGTAACCAAGAAAACAGGAACGAGGCAGAACACACATACATAACTTTATATACAGACATAAACTTAAAAGGTACATACCGAAATCTGTGAATTGCCTTTTGGGAAGGTGGAGGAACTCTGCATACTCCTCTGTTCCATCCTCCGTTTTATGAAGCTGCAACACCAAAGGCCGCCTCGTAACGATACCTGCACAGCGATACTTGTTACTCAAAATCTCAAAGCTCTTTGCATTATTTACAAACACATGAGAGAGGTTAAGAAATTTAACAAACCGGATCCTCTAGGAAGGAAATCTCTCCCAACTATGCTCTCAAGAACCGAAGATTTCCCAGAACTCTGCACTCAAAAGTCAAGTTGAAAGAGTCAACAGAGAAAAACCTAGGAAGAAGCCAAAGCTGTTAAGGCCGGAGAAATCACCTGACCACCGACGACGGCGACGGTTGGTAGAGCTTCCCAGAGAGAATTAAAAGCGTTGCCTCCAGTTCCACCGCCATAGTCACCGAGCACGGTACATGCCCTCTGTATCCTATTAACCAAGCCAATCAAGCTCTCCATAGTCGTCATCTTCCTTCTACTTCCGTTTCAGATGAAAATTCAAAAGTTCCGAAGACGAAAATTTCAGTTGAGAAATTTGAAAAGACAGAGAGAAAATTCGACAACAGACCAAGACTCGGAGACCTGGGGGACAAAGAAGAGAATATAGGGGTAAAATAGGAAAATGAATAGAGAGAATAAATGACTCGCTACGGTTCTAGAAGGTTGATTTGTGTGCCTCTCTGTGTGGTTCGGTCGGTTATAAACTGCTCAGTCGCTGTGAGTCCGTAACAGAGTCGTCTGCCTATGGTTTGGTTCGGTTTACGGTCAAATCTAAAAATATTGAAGATAAGATTGTGGCTCTGATTGGTAATTTGCGGAATGGCGGAATTGTGTTTTTGTTTAACAAAAACGCAGACTGTGTTTTTGTTTAACAAAAATATAAAGGAAAAGTCATTCCGCAGAAAAGCGACTTATAAATCACTTAATCTATTCCGCAAGATTTTTTCCGCAATTCCGCCATTCCGCAAAGTTACCAATCAAAGTTTATGTGCGCATAATTTTTAGCTTTTTTTTATTTGGGATGCGTTTGAATTTTCGAATTTTGAAGTTCAAGTACGACAAAAAAAAAAGTGAAGTTCAATATCCATGTGGACCCCGCGCAATATAGAATTAGATTTATCGGCGACCATGAAAATGGTTTTCTTTTGTTAAAACTTATGAAGAGATTTTGTTTATCAAACATAACTTATAGTACTTGTAGTTTAGTGTTAATAATATTTTTTTTTTTTGTGTGTTAATATCATTATATTACGACGTGGACTAAAATTATTAGCATCTCAAAAATTTACCCCATTTGAGCAAAATAGTCTATCAGAAGACATTGAAAGGTGTTCAGGCGGTGGCAACCTTAGCAGAAGACATTTCATACGCCATGTGTTGCATTGATGTGTTATGTCTTTGGGAAACAAAAACAAAGCAAAACAAAAAGGAGATCCATTAGGAGACTCTGTGAGGATGGATTTAGGATCACAAAAGTCTATTGAGTTCGTGATCCAATACTTAACCCAACAAACCACTCAAGTGACTTAGTTAACTCGTTAGGTTACTTCTTCTTGTGTGTTGAATAAAGATCTATGAAGCCAGTATCTGTTGACATGTGAGTGAATATTTTTTTAGTTAAATATCTATGAAGCCCCTATGAAACGAGTTTGAGTTCTATTTTAGACATCCATCAAATAATCCTATGTATTGTTCGACATTTCTATCGGAAATCACCAATGGTTAATTAGATACAATTTGACAAGATGAATTATCCCTCTATATTTTTTTGTCAACCAGATAAATCGTAGACTTTGATGTGTAATGTTCATTGAAACGATGTAAAGTATGTTATACTATATTGGATTATATAAACTTCATAATGATCGATCCATCAAAGTCAACTGGAAAAAGAAGAAGTTCTTGTGGATTGGATACTAGAGCTTTGGGATCAGGAGGAGACATTGTTGATGCGGTTAAAAAAAAGTATCTCTGTCAAGAACAAAAAATAGGGGACAAATTGAGCTTGTTTTAGAGCATGGTTTCTTCTCTTCGCATCATTACTGGATTGATTAGACTGGCTATGAGTGCGGTTATGCGGATCTTGAATGGCCTTTCCAGATAATATTCTTAACGTTGTAAGAGATGAGAAGTTGAGAAGATTTAACTGAAATTTTGCTAGTTGATGTGGATTCGCTGGGTACATTTGAAGTTCACAAGCGAGTTTTGAAAAACATTTATATGAAAATCTATCTAGAGATTCAATAGCCTTTGCTTTGTAGATATTACTTAGCAACACAAATCCCTAGTAAACAAAAAAACGTTAAACCACCAAGAAAACCTCCGATTTTGCTAAGCACCAAACAAACCACCAAGTTTTGGTTGACCAAATTTACACTTCATGTCTATGTTTCCTCCTGAACCATATAAACAAGACAGGCATACAATAAAAAAATAACCGTAGTTCTCACACGAGAAGATGATCTTTGTTTGTGGTTCTTGATTCAGTTTCAAGAATAAATAATGATATATCACAAACAAAAAATGTTCTTTTGTTGTCACATTTTATATTCGTTTTCAAAAGTATCAACACTTGAAATTTCCAAAAGAATGCCAGAAACAAAAATTGTTTATGAAGAGTCTTGAAAGATTTACTAGCCTTTTCAGGAAGTAAAAAAATATATTGTAAAATTCTATATATTGTTGTGGTTAAATTGTAATGGTTGCTCTCGGTTATGGTCTTGGATGAAAGATTTTGTTGTAGGGTATGTTTCTGTGGTATGTCTAGATTTAGTTTCTGAATAATCTTTTTCTGTCGTTTTAGTTTCCGAGGAAATTTTTTTTTCCATTGGTTTTAGTTTTTGGGTTTATGTTTAACTCCGGTTTTGGATTTCAAACCTGTATCCCACCCATGTATTTCTTCTCTGTATTTCATAATGAAAATTACTTAGACGGAAAAAAAAAAAATCTAGTCTATTGTTTATATGCGTTTTGCAAAAGAACCACAAAACTCTTGTAATTGGATTTTGAAAGCCCAATCAATAGGAAAGACATTGAATTTAAGCCCAATATAGAAGTTAGGCCCCGAATGGGGGTTGGAAGGCCACGTGGCAGGCGGTTGAAGAAACGGACGAACATTCGTGTGGATTATGGAAACCGACGATGGCTCGTTTCACCTAATACTTGTCGGCTTCTACCAGCCACCGTCACATGCTTCCCTTTTAGGTCCTTATTTATTTATATTTTATTTAATTTATACAAATACATTGGACATTTATTTATCTTTCAAGTGTTGATTTTTTTTTAAAGTCAGTAGCTGAGGTAATCACTACACATCCCATTCAAATCCAATGGTATTGGTCCGATACGAGATTAATCAACGTCAACTATAAGTAGTTTTATCCTTCTGCAAGAAGCACAAGATGAAATTACTATAAATGCGTTTGTTATTATATAGCGATGATTAAAAAAATTTTAAATTGATTGTAAAAAATGATGATATATTGGAATAGGAAATCTGTTGAATAAAAATAATAGAATCATTGAAATACTTTGATTCTTATAATTTCGTAATTTGGTAAAACTGTCATTAGAAGATTTCTGCTTGTCATGAATCTTGCAAATTAACTGATATAAAACCTAATTTGAAGTAAATGTGTAATTGGTATTTGTTTAATAATTTTTTTTTAAAAAAAAACATAGAGACCTGTAATAGTGTGATATGATGATGATGATGATGATGATGATGATGATGATGATCTGTCAAAGTGTTGTGCTAATAACAAATCTCTCCATTAGCTACGGCGATTCTCATAGATACTTTCTCTCTCTTCTCTTTTTTATCCGACAAAGAATGCTTTACCTCTCTCTCTCTATCTAAAACAGCGATCTTAGAAGAAAAAGACAAAATCTTTACCACCAGATCCTCTGCTTCTTACAGGTTGTCACATCACTCTATAACTCAGCGAAACTTTCGGGGAATAAAACTTTCCGGCTAAATCCTCTCCCCGAACCTTCATTTTTTATATTTTTTCTCCGATGAGGTGTAAAAGACACACCGTCGATTTTAGCAGCAACAACGGCGTATGCGCTTCTTGCCTCCGTGAACGTCTCCTCTCCCTCGCCGCTTCCGCCGCCGCTACAGCCGCCGTGGAAGATAATCTCCGTCAATCGCATAAATCCAGTAATCCTCAGTTTCTGATTTTCCCTCGTTCTGTTTCTCCTTACGTAACCCGTAGAAAATCCGACGCCGGAGGAGCAGATCCATTAACCTCTAATCGCCGATTCTTCACCACGCCTCAGGTCGATCTCGGCTATTCATGCAAGGATTTCGATTCGAATCGATCTTCTAAATCCAAAGGGGGTAAAATTTCCAGAATCTCTAATCTATTCAGAGCCAGATCTGAAGATTTCGATTCCAATCCCAAATCCAATCCTAGATCTTCCTGCGACGTGTCCGAGTCTTCTTCGTCTTCTTCGTGGTCATGGATGTCGTCGATTCTCTCCACCGGTCGATCCAAAAGGCAACCGACCACCGCGTGCTACATCGAAGACGTAATCCCCGGTCGTAGACCTCAACGAGTTTTCTGTCGAGGAATGTCGCCTGCGAGAGATACGGAGTTGGAGTACAAAAACGAGCCACCATCGGAATCAATTGAGGAAACGCCGGGGAGATCGCGAAGAACCCCGGCGACGAAAACTCCGGGAAGGAGGAAGATTGCGAACGGGATTGGGAAGAGCATGTCGGGGATGGGCTTCTGTTTGAGTCCGTTGGTGAGAGCTAGCCCTAACTGTCCTTTTAAACGGAAAATCAGATTTCCATCGGAATTCGTCGGTAACGCCGGCGAGATAACGGCGCCGGAAAAACCACATATCTCAGCAGCGGCGTCGTTTTGCGCAAACAGGTCGAAGAAGCTCGTGGATTTAGGTAGAGTTAATCCCCGCCGTTGAGTTTTTGGTGGGAAGTCTGGTCAACGTTTGACTACCGCACACGTAAATTACGTCCGTATCCTCGTCACTCCTAAAGATGGATTTTTCTCAAAATCAAGTTTTTTTTTTATTTGGCTTGAAGGTGTTAAATCAGAATGAACAAAGTGTTAAAAAAAAATTAAAATTACTATTGGTTTTCTTTTGTTTCGTATTTTGTTTACCTTGATTGTAATTTGTAGAGTTTGATGGAGCAAATATTGTTCTTAGGAGATTAGCAGAAGCAATGTAGTGCCACTATATTTGTTTTATATGAAAATGCTTTTCTTTGATGTACAAATTTAAAAACTGGTCAAACCATTTTAGTTTTTTTTTTTAATTTAATTTGAAACAACCTGGGTGAGTTCAAATGAATATCATCTTTATCAGTCACAGCCAATAGAGTTGCAAGCCGGATCCGATCAATCAGGATTTTTTTAGGGTGACCCAAATCCCAAATTATAATCATATATTTAATCTTGTTAAAGATTACAGACTAAACCAAATCTGACACTTTATTTTATCTTTCGATGGTAAACTGTAGTCTAATAATGGACACAACCACAGAAGCAGATCAACCCTAAATAATAAATTCTAAAAAGTTTGGACCATATCGGGATCGGTTAGACATGTAAAATAAATTATAAACCATATAATACCGAACCAGGCTTGTCAATCTCAATTAGCGGTGCAAAAGTGTAACTAGACTGTGTATGATATGGTCAAAGGTCATTAAACTAATCATTCAGAACTGTTTACACTTTACAGTAGTAATGCCAATGCGGCATAACTGAAATTTGACCCATGAATTTCTGGGTATAGTAAAAGAGTGACAGTTTTGACTTTGTTTATTTTGTCTTCATCTTAGAAAAGTTTATATTGGGTTTCCAGAATTGCTCCTCTCTAGTCCACTTCAACACTATGACCTACAAAGCTATTCTAATACACTTATGCAACAAGTATCTTTTGTCGACTTTTAGTAAAAATCCAAGTACGTGTTTCAACCTTTCCAATAACACGAGAGTTTAAATGTATGAGAGGAGGGTCCACGAGATTTGAATACTATGGGTCCGTGAATCTCCTGAACGCTCATGAAGGAAAATTAGCATTAACTACTTTCTGGTTAGCTTGGTTAGCTATAAAGTTATTCAGGATACTGTAGCAATATTAATTGGCTTTCAAAAGATTTGAGAGTGACATAGACATGGTGCCTTCTTGCTTTGTCGAAGATAGTGTTTCTAACTTGGTACCCAAGGTAAAGCTGTTTTTTTTTTCCGGTGGAAAAGTATAAAAGTTCAAGTCGTTAATAACCTCACATTGATAAGGACATATTCTAGTATACAGAAGTTACGGATCACTTTAACTAAGAACCAAACAGATCCAAACACGTATCAGATTTAAAATTGAAATCCTATTTAAGACGAACGAACCAAGATAGTCATTATCTTAATTGAAAATATATGTTTTCATTCATAATTATGAGCACAATCTACCATACAAAAATTACTAGTTAGAGCCCGTCTTGGAACTAGGTTATGATTTGCATATCAATGAACCATAATCGAGAAGCTTAAAGTTCAACGTTTCAGGCACTTTTATATTATCTCTATGGATGCCAAACGAATCTAGTCGAGGGATTCGCTCAGCTGGCTCCCTGACGAGGTTTTGGGCAGCATCTTGTCCATGCTTTCGACAAAACAGGCTGCTTCAACATCTCTTCTCTCGAAAAGGTGGAGATACGTGTTTAGGTTGGTGGATAATCTCGATTTTGATGATTCTGTGTTTCTGCACGCGGGAGAGGATGTGTTTCCGGAGAGCTTCAAGAAAAGAAGGCAACTTCCATTCCGAATTCTGTTGCTACAACTCGCTCAAGTTGGGACAGTGTTAATCCCGAGTCTCTTGTTGGAAAATGGGTCCTGTGGAGATTACCATAACTGTAAGGCAGAGAGAAGTTGAAAACTCTGATTTGGCTTTTACAGTAGAGTATTAGAATTTCATTCTCTTTATCTTCTCTCTTTACTTTAGCAGGAAAAGAAGGCAACTTTGATTCCGACTTCTACTGCTACATCTCGCTCAAGCTGGGGACAGTGTTAATCCCGACTCTCTTGTTGGAAAATGGGTTCGTGTAAGAATGCCATGTGAAGATCGTTTCGAAGAATCTGTGACCAAAGAGTATGAAGCAGAACATGTAATATACCCTTCTTTTCTGTTTCTCATGCTTTGTACCGTAGGGCTCGATCATGTTCAAAGAAATCTCTACTTTGCATTTGTCTCCAGGAATTGCATCGCCTAGAGGCTGTAGACTCGGATGCAGTGGAGATGTATGACATTTTTAATGGAGAGGGAAGTGAGCTTTTCGGGCGGCTCTCAACAGGTGTGTGACTGTGAATGAGAGGCTTTTAATAAAAAAAAGAAAGAAAAGAAAAACAGAGCCTTTCTTTTTGTATGCACATATAAACACGATCTCAACACTATATTTTGTTTTGGATTTTTTTAGCTATAATATGATATGCAGTAGTCTATCTTCTCTTCCAATTTGAGAATGTTGAGTTTCTATCTAATTTGTCAAGAGAAACTGATTTTAAGTGATACCAAATTTTATTTTGGATAACTTGTTCTAAAAGATATAGGCAAGCAGCAACAACTTGTTCTATCGATAGTGAAAGACTCTAAGGTCAAGACTCTAAAGTAAGATAAACAATTCGTAAGAAATTTTTTTATTCAAACCATTTGAAGCCACAAATCACATATGGATCACAACGACAACACACAGAATGCAGAGAAATTTTTATCACACGAACTTTTTTTCTAACTTGCTTCTATGTTGATGTGATGAAATGATTCCTACCAATCAAATACGTTCTCTATAACTGAAGAGAAAAAGAGTGACAAGGAAGAAAAACAAAACTACAAGAGTTCAAAGCGTGAGAAAAAACGACAAGTGTATTCATATGAGTGAAAAGTTACATAGCATAATGATATGAATAAACTAGATGACTTATGTGACTTTGAAGTAGCACTTGGATGGAAGTGAAACTGCAAGAGGCATGATTAGATCCCTTTTGGTTTGCAGTGTTATGCTATCATCCTCTGCAGCTTCTGCAACATCCACTTGAACCCATTCAAGGCATTCGAATTCCCCCAAAAAACTCTTCAACTGTTTCAACTCTTCCGCAGTTCCTCGATAACTAGGGATATGCAACGCCTTCACTTTGTTCAGAGGCATGGAGACATCGCTTGTGAAACCATTCAGAACCTGAAGAAGCGGCAATCAAGAAGTTGTATGAAAATGATCAACCACTAAGTTCGTATATGTTCATATATTTGTTCATAGGTTTTCAAGCTTATAGAATATACCTGGACGATCAGAGTTTCAAGCTTTGGAGCCTGCTTAAGCAGGTATGCCAGCAATTTCCAACCTCGCTTATTCCTAATCCCTAAAGATAGATTGACCAGATTGTCGAACACCGGCAGTTTATATCTACAGTAAGAATAAATTACCTGAAAACACACAAACACAGTTATCAAGAATGTCCAATGATCTTAAAAAAAAAGAAAGAAAGTGGCCAGAACTTTTTACATCAGCCGAAACGGGAGAGAGGTGAAGAATCTCAACATTTCTTATCCCCAGAATGAGATCCGTTACATCCGGCGTCTTTACCATATCTGTCGGATGAAGATCCATCTTAGCTTCGACTAAGTGTTCCAGGTTAACTTGTCTATACTCAGCCAACGCAAAATGAGAGTAGTCAAGGTAGACAAGTTTTGGCAGGTCAAGTGACATAAAATCACAACCATCAAGATCAAGAGAATCGTAGTCAACTGATAGCCTCTTGACGGACGGACTCGATATGGTGTGAGGCATTGGTAAGGAGCCTTTGTGATGGACTGATAACTCCTCGAGCACCGGGCAACCAGCAAGAAGCACACCACACAGATCTCCGTATTGGAAGTAAACAGAATCGATGAAGAGAAACTTAAGAGATGGAAGCAACACATATGAAGGGAGGTTTTCAAGATAGAGCTGTGCCCCTAGTGTCAACTTGACCAGTGTTTTGCTTACAAAGAGCTGAGGAGGCAGAGTGAATGTACCCATATCTTGTATCCTTAGGTCCGCTTCCAAAACACCGCGGCTTGCGACATTAGATATCCAGCGGCACACACAAGCCTTTTGGCGTTCGTCGTACGAACTGACTTTTAGAGAGAATTTCTTGATGGGAGAATCACATTGCAAGGACAGTGTTCGATCCACGAAATTCTCGAAGCTCTCCGGAAACGCTAGTTTATCATTCCCCACGTGCATCGAGACAGAATCATCAAAGTCGAGGTTATCCACCAGTCTAAACACATACCTCCACTTTTTCGAGAGAAGAGCTGTTGAAGCAGCCTGTTTTGTCGGAAGCAAGGACAAGATGCTTCCCAGAACCTCGTCAGGGAGCCAGCTGATTGAATCCCTCAAACAGATTGTGTCAAATCTTTTGGCATCCATAGAGATACAAGTGCCTGAAACATGAAGCTTCTGGATTAACCACAAAGCACCCACCAAAAGGATGTGAGTATTTCTATAAATTAAGCGGAATGCTGAAGAAACAGAGGGAGATCAAAGACCACAGAAGATTCACTTTTCACAATCACTTTGTTCACTTTCCATCGTCGCTTGTAAATTTCCATGCCCTTAGGGGAGAGCAAGCATGATTAATACAATATAATTACTTACCGAAGATAGGTTGAGACGACAAGTTCTGTTGTTTTGATTGACTGTTGTTTTTTTTATAATATAATCTTCTTCCCCGTCTCGCCTTACTTTCTCCGACCCAGAGATACAGCTTGAAACGACCAGAGATAGATCTCTCTTGTACTTTTTTTTTTTTTTTATCTCCCTTATATTTATTTATTTAAATATTTTTTCTTGAGTGATAATTGGAAATTCTCCATGGATTATATAATCGACGGGCATAGATAACCTCTATCGATTATTGTCGACAAAAAAAAAACAGATAAACCTTATATCCTTATTCCCTAGATTGTGAATAGGAGACTCCGATCCTTATTCCGAATCGAGACGAGCAACATCTTCAGTCTCTGCATCTTATTTCGTCCTTCTCCACCATCACGGGATTCGTATGTATTCGATTTCACTTCTTCTTCTTCATATGAAAGCTTGCACCTTTACTTTAATTCAGTGCCAAAAACAAAAAAGCTTAACCTTTGGTTTCTATACGGTCTTTGCATTCTCCGTCTCTTTTTTTTTTCCTCTGAATTGTCCTTAATTCTGCTTATCATGTTCATATGGTTGCTTGCTCAGATCTATATACTTGTGCAAAGTGGATGTCATTGTTTGTGGATCTCCTCTGATATTTGTTCTCTCTCTCTCTCTCCTTCTTTAGCATCCATTCAGTTTTGTGGCTGGTGCATTCTGGGTAATCCAGCGGTTGAATTATTCGACCGTGAAAGCACGAACCTTTAATCCAACCCAGAAAAGCTTGATTGACCTTTTTGTTGAAAATGTCAATACCGATTCATTATGTAGCTGGTTGCTCAATTCTTTCTGATTGTGAAAGTGAATATCCTCAGCTATTTGTTAACTCTCTGTTTCTTTAGCATTCACGCAAATTTGAGTTTCCGCTAGGTTATAGAAATATTCACATCGTTTTGTTGGGTGCATTGTGCTTAATCTTGCAGTTGATACCACTTCAGAGTTTTAGGCACTTTTATCTCTATGGATGCCTGAAACTGTCATTTCTAACACACAATGATCTAAAATAGTCATTATGTTATAAATTTCTGTTACAATGTTAGGAATGCCGCGTTAAACATAATCTTTTCTATGAAAATTATGTTATTTCACTCATTCGTAACTGATCTTGAAAGACACCAACAGACAATACCCTAATATGAAGCTTTTGGGATTTTTCTTTTTTGGTTTCGGTTTTGTTTTCCTCTCTAGTTTAAGTTTTGGTGTTATTTCTTTTTGGCTTATGTTTATTTTTCCTTTGCAGTTTAGGGTTATGATATGTAACTTGGCCTATATACAGAATATGTATCAGGTCTTTTGTTATCAAACACTTAGCCTTAATTTGTCGAGAAGCTTAAAGTTCGATCTCTTTCTCGAGGTGTTGCTTACCGTTCAACGTTTCAGGCACTTTTATCTCTATGGATGCCAAACGAATCTGCTCGAGGGATGCGATCAGCTGGCTCCCTGACGAGGTTCTGGGCAGCATCTTGTCCTTGCTTCCGACAAAGCAAGCTGCTTCAACATCTCTTCTCTCGAAAAGGTGGAGATATGTGTTTAGGTTGGTGGATAACCTCGATTTTGATGATTCTGTCTCGCTGCACGAGGGAGAGGATCAACAAGCGAGGTATGTGTTTCCGGAGAGCTTTGAGAATTTCGTGGATCGAACACTTGCTTTGCAATGTGATTCTCCGATCAACAAGTTTTCTCTAAAATGTCACGTTGGCAAGGACGATGAACGCCAAAGGGCTTGTGTGAGCAGCTGGATATCAAATGTCGCAGGACGCAGAGTTTTGGAAGCGGAGCTAAGGATAAAAGATATGGGTATACACTATCTGCCTCCTCAGCTCTTTGCAAGCAAGACAATGGTTAAGCTATCGCTTGGAGCAGAGCTCTATCTTGGAAAGCTACCTTCATGTGTATCGCTTCCATCACTCAAGTTCCTCTTCATCGATACGGTTTGCTTCGAATATGAAGATTTTTCTTGTGTGCTTCTTGCTGGTTGCCCTGTGCTTGAGGAGTTATCAATCCGCCACAAGGACTTTATAGTAATGCCTAACAACATCTCGAGTCCAACCGTCAAGAAACTATCAGTTCTCTACGATGCTCCTGATGAAGTTGATGGTGGTAGCTGTATATCATTTGACCTACCAAATCTTGTCTACTTTGAGTACTCTGATTGTGCCTTGTCAGAGTATACAAAGGTTAATTTGGAATCCCTAGTTGAAGCTAAGCTGGATCTTTGTTTCGAAGAAAATGCCGAGAAGCCGGATGTAACGGATGTCATGATGGGGATAAGAAACGTCAAGATCCTCCATCTTTCTTCCAGTTCGGTTGAGGTAAGCAAGCTAATGGTTTCTATCTCTCGTTTTGAAAAACCTTGGACATTCTTGAAAACAAACTGTGTTTTTGTATGTTTCAGGTGATTCATTCTTACTGTAGATATGGGCTACCGGTGTTCCACAATCTGGTTAATTTATCTTTCGGGAGCTTTAAGAATAAGCGAGGTTGGAAATTGCTGAAATACCTGCTTAAGCAGTCTCCAAAGCTAGAAACTCTAACCATCCAGGTATATTTAATAAAGCACAACCTACGAACCAATATCTATTTGAATATAGACTAACTTAGTGGTTGACACATCTTCTTGATTGATGCTTCTTCAGGATTTGAATGGTTACCCAGGCGTTGTCTCCATGCCTCCTAACAAAGTGAAGGTGTTGCATGTTCTTGGTTATCAAGGAACCGTGGAAGAATTGAAACATTTAAAGAGTTTGGTGGGAGAATTCCAATGCCTCACACTGGTGCAAGTCAGCAAGTGGATGTTATACAAGAGGATAATAGCATAATATTGCAAGTTCTAACTACGCTTCTTGGAGTTTCAGTTGCATCCAACTCCAACTTCATATTTACATAAGCCATCTAATTCATTCATATTACTACGCTATGTAACTTTAAACTCACAAATTGTTTCATGTTACATTGCTCTATGAAACGTGTATCAGCATCGTATTTGTGTTTTAAAAAAAATACCAATTATGTGTAAACAAAAATACATATAAGTTCACGAGAAAGTGCAAGATCGAAGTTGTCTATTTAATATAGTGTACATCTTTATTTAATTCTGTGCAACTTTAAACTCGTTATTTGTTTCATGTCACATAGCTCCTTTTTTGTAGAATCCAAAGTTAAATTATTTTGATCTCTTCACAAACCTTTGTTCTAGACACTTTCTCATTGGCTCTTTAAAAAACTTTTATACTTTGTTCGATCTTGTTTGGACATTACAATATTTCGGCCCAATTTCTCTTTCACCTATCCTTTGAAAACCAATTCTCAATACGGTTTGAATTGTGTTATCCAACCTGAATTCTGATTGGTTTAGCTTCATAAATGTAATAAATAGTCTAGTCGCTAAAAGAAATAAACTTTACCAAAAAAAAAAAAGAAGAAGCACAAAATAGACAGTTATTTTCGTTTAAAAATTGTGGAATAACAAAATTTAGATCGCAGTTCTACGTTATTCTGTAATTGGTAATAATGTGAAGAGTGGCGAAAGAACTCTTAAATGATTTCAAGGTTGACTATTCTATCTTTAATTTTCTTAATTTAGTATTCCTAGTTTTGTTTTTCCCATGAATTTAAAAACAAATGATCCAGATTAAAATTTGGTACCATTTATGCCGAGTCAGATTAGTAGTGTCATCAGACAGACAAATTAGATAGAAATTCAACATTCTCAAATTGGAAGATAAAATAGACCAATTATACAGTATATCATAGTATATAACTAGAAAATCCATCTGTTATATCACCAGAAAATGGGCCAAAAAAAAAATCCATAATTGAAGAAAGTCTTCAAATATACTGTTCATATGTACAGACCAAAAGTATATGGCTCTGTTTCTTTTCTCTTAAACGAAGTGAATGAATAAAAATGTCATATACTCTCACTCACAGTCACACCCCTGAGAGCCACCGGAAAAGCTCGCTTATCTCTTCTCCGGCATGATTCGCCTCCAAATCCACCACCGTCATTTCCTCGCTCCGACGACTGCTCCCGGTGAAAAATCTACCGGAGCTTCTAAACGACATTGCACGCGACGATATCCCTCGTGAGAGCCTGTCCACGTAATCCTTGAGCCAGCTTCTAGAACCATCATTACCTATCTCCGCCGCCAAACTCGCTTCAAACGCCGGATTTGAATTTGACGTAACCGCAACCGCTGGTCTTAATTCTTCGTGTTTCCCCGATGTACTTATGCGGTTGAAATTAGACTCTGAGATTTCGGATTCGACGTCGTCGACTATGTAATCGAACGAGCCGATTGAGTAAGATCGGTGCTGATCGCCGGAATCCGGAATCGGATTGTTGCGACGGCTGATGGATCCGATTTCGAGGCGGAAGCTGTTTTCTCCTCCGCCGTCGCCGAGAGAAGACGCGGAGGTGTGAGTAGCTTTCATGAGATCGGAATCGGTGGCGAAGAGAGGAGAACGGCAAAGCGGACAAGTCTGATTAGAGACTAGCCATATATCGATACAATCGGCGTGAAAGGCGTGGCAACAGAGAGGGAGAAGACGAAGCTGATCCTCCGGTTCGAATTTCGATAAACAGACGGCGCAGTCACCGGAATTGGAGGAGGTAGATCGGCGAGTGACGGAGGAGAATTTGAAAATCGGAAGCGAGTCGAGCACTGAAGGTCGCTCTGTTGCTGGAGAAACTCGATGGCCGGAGAATCGGCGTGAATCGGAAGGGATGGAGGAGGAGGAGGAAGACGGAGGAGGGAGGAGCGAGCGGTGACCACAGCGATTGAGACATCGAAGGAGAAAGCAAATGGAGACGGAGATGAGGAGAGTCATGAGAAGGATGAGAATGATGACTAATACGCTTGGTTTGAGACTGTCGAGAGAAGAAGAGTGAGAGTCAGAGTCTCCGCCATGGCTAGGGTTGATGAGAGATTCCATTGATTTTGCTTTGATTGGAGCTTTCTCGCGAGAGAGAGAGGAATCAGGAAAATGACTTGCCCAACTGTTTTGTATTAATGGCGGTGGTGAAGAAGGAGAGGGAAGAAAAGGAGGCACGTGTGAAGAGTCACGTGAGAGAAGGAGGAGGGTCAAGTGAAGGAAGAAGATTTATAATGAAGGGGACGTTGGGAAAGAGGCAGAGAAATAAATGTTATCGAACCAACTCAAACTGTCGATATTTAATACCATAAAGTTAAAATCAAATCAATGCCTCCTTTTCACTTGTATTAGCTTTCATTATTTTATTTTTCTTCTAAGGTATACATACATTTAACATTTCTAAGGTAACAATAAATCGAAGAGAGAGACAGGTATTTATGTAGACATTCTAGTTTTTGATATGTAAGACACGATCACTTCTAAATTTTATATCTAATGCAAGATGACATCGTAAAAGTTAAAAATGAAAGCATAAGTTATGTACTTGTTGCTAGCAAAAGATATATATGTATATACGTATTCTTAAACGAAATTCATAATCTAACATAACATGTTATGGTCGAATTGTCTATGTTAATTACACTTTAACAAAACATATGTTGTGAATTTAAATCGTTTGTTTTAGTAGATATGACGATGTAATAGTAAAACATATTTTGTGTTCTCTCTAATTGGAGGTTTTGGTATCATTTCTTGAGTCCATCCTTTATGCTTACCTTGTTGAGCCTAAAAACAGATCGATACCCTTTTTGACATTTTACCCGATTCTTATGATAATTGTTTTAACTTTATGTGCCTTTAAAAACAAAAACTAAATATATCATAGCTATCATTATTTTCATGCTGTCCTTTTCCGATATCCATTTGTAATTCCATTGCCAAGTGTTACAAAATCCGAGGTTTTTATTTATGCAATAGAACCCGGAAAAAGTCTGTCTCCTTGCGTGAACGAAATCAAGCTTCAAGAAAGCAAACCCGTTTAAATGGGTAAAAGTTCAAAATAACCAAAATTTGTTAGAACTTCGAATGATAATCACCATCTTAATAAAGATAAAAAGTAAACAAAATTGTTTATAAGAAAATTAAATACATTTATCTTGGATAGTTATTCGGGTTTGTTAGAATGACAATATTCATCTTGATCTAATCAAGTAAATATTTATTTTAGATTAAAAAAAAAAACATTTATCCTGAAGAGTTAATTGAATTTGTGGATAAAATCTCAACTATATACAATGCGCAATGGTCAAGAAAGAGCATTTTGTATATCATTGCTCCATATAATAGACAGAAAATACTGAAAATGCGATGACATTGCTAAACTGTATCTCACTAATGCAACTTATAGTTTAAGTAATCATCTCTAACAAAAATAAAGCAATTTTCAGTTTTATGGAGATTCATTTTAATTAGTATAACGTATACAACTGGCAATGAACTGTTTATAATCAAAATTTATCCATAAATTTGTTAGGAAAATATAAAAAGACGATAACACTGCTGAAACAGATCTTGTTTGTGTTTGTTGTATGAATAGAATGTTTATGAACATTCTATATTACCCAGAACCTTGATTAATTTAAGGCATATGTGGTCAATTATTTTCAAGAAAATTCGGTACGGGCCAAAACGAAAACAATATATTATATGAATTCCACAAAGTTAGTTGGCTTAGAATTAATACGACTCCGCAGGGGACATGTGAACACAGCTCTTATTAGGGATATGCAAAATCAGAATGACACTTGTAATATTAAGTCCATCACGTAATGCTTAGACGTACAAATACACGTGACTACTCATTACTGGATATTATTGTTTTTGGGGTTTATATCTGTATTTTGCGTAAAATAAGGTTGCAGTTGCACGTTCGTAGCATGCCCTTTTACTCCATTAAGGTCTAATTATAGTTTATAATTTTATATATTGGAGTTTCCACGGCGTCTATTTTATTTTATTTACAAAACATAGATTATAGTATAACTAAGCAATTTGGAGATATCAAGCTATCCAGAAACCATGCCACGAAATACGTAAACTGCATGTAGATACAACCTGTCTGGAAGCTCTAAATCCTTATATATCATCTCTCGATGTTCAAATTAATCATACATAATATTAACCAAACATTTTCCCATTTTTTTTATTCTTACTTTTTCTGTGTGGTTCTATCACTCGATTTTTTCGTCACTCAACGAACGTAATTTTCTCGAGTTATTATTCTTTTTGCCATTTGACAAAAAATATCGTTAACAATAATACCCACCAACTCCAAATATATATATATATATATATATATACACTCCAACAATCTATTTAAATTAATGCCTTTGAATGCATCGATTTTAATAGTCTTGATTTTCTCAATGAAATATAAGACAAACTAATACTGGAAAATAACTTTTTAAAAATTTAGTACAAAAAATGGTTTGTTATAGTAGCTGGGATATAATTAAAATGTTATTTCTAAATATAGACTAGATAATCAAAGTCAAGCTTTCTTTAATTTGTTTGAGCACATGGAACCATTTTTGAGAGGACATATTTTATTGCTGTAGAAATTAGATAGCTGTTATAAATTTAGACAATAATTCAAAAACTAAAGCAATGAATTAATGAATCAACAATGTAGTAAGAAAACGAAAGAAACATGGTGGTGTGCTCTTGTGTCTGTACCCCTGGAAGGACAACAAAGTCATTAAAACAGACAACCTACTTTATTCATCTAACCATGAATATTTCCACGTCATCCATTTATTTCCTTTCCAAATCATTTCTTACTTGATTTTGTCCTACTTTACTTGTATTGCACTCTAAGCATGTTCTTCTTTATCTAATCTACAACTAAGATCAAGAAAACTGATTTTCCCCCCCCTTTAAATTAGTCCATCTCGTAGCTCTCTGGTTCAAAGTCAAAGGGTCCCTCAAAAAAAAAGCAGCCTAAAGTCTATTGACATATCGAACAAATCGTGAACCAAGATAATTAAAATGGAATCCAGATCGTAAGATTATCATTTTCCCTCATGCACACAAGCATTGCCACATGATAAATGTGTAAATGTTTGGATGCCTTCGCAAATCTGTAAATAAAATAGTAAAATACACCACGGTAAAGAGTAATTAGACTTACAAATTTTCAATAATGGTTGCTCATACGATAGATAAAACTATCGCAAATTCTTGTTTTCCTTCACAAAGTGGAAATAGTTCCTATGAAACCATTTTTATCCTTAATTTGTGTTTTTCACACTATGTCTATGCTATCCAAGATACGATCTATGATTAAAACAGTGCCTTGTAAATTTACACTTTTTTTCTATGTATCCTCCTGAACCATGTAAACAAGACAAACCTACAATACAAAAAAAAAAACCGTAGTTCTCACACGAGAAGATGATTTTTGTTTGTGGTTCTTGATTCAGTTTCAAGAAAAAATAATGATAAATCACAAACAAAGATCTCTTCTAATGAATGTTTATCAGTTTAAATGGCCTTTACCCGAAATACTTGGCCCATTATGACCCATTTGATATGTTCCCAATATTGGCCCATTTTCGTCCTATTGCAATCGTTTAATTTGTTGTTCCTTTTTTTTCCGGAGAAAAAATCGTTTGTTCCTTTCTTGTATAGTTGTATCATAAGTTGACAAGTCATAACACTTAGTACAAGACTACAAGCGATCAATCTACTAACGAAGTAACGAGATATGTAAATGTGCTGTTCTATTGTCATTCACTGAAGGAAAAAACCAGTAAATATACCCAAAATAATAAATTCTTATGTACACAATAAATTATAACACCTAATTGGTCGTCACAGAAAGAGATCACCTGACATTATACTAAGAGCAAGCTTATGTACACAATGAATCATAGCTAAGCGCCGAAATCACCTAACGTACGGTATATGGAGAAACAATGCGTATATATTCATTTCAAAATGTATGGTTTGGACGTTTGACGTATCAACTTAAATTTGAAAACATTCGTTAAATAAAACATTACTTTTAACAAAAATGTATAAATCGATCAGAGCGAATAATTTAATACCATGATTTCATATCTAGAAAATACACATATACATCCTTGCATTAAAACAAAAACATTGGAACTTTTACTAGTTCACCTCAAGAAACTCAAGGTAATTTAAAGGAGATTGTTTAATTTGAGTTGTGAACCTAAATCACTTACAGTATTTTGTTGAGAACAATATCAAAAAACAAATTGATGTATACCGTCAGGATCATAGGTAATCTAATTTGTAAGGCTTTTCGATTGACCACAAGACTGTCAAAATAGGCTGATTTTAAGACTTGCTTTATACCGTCAGGTTTCAAAGATAGGATCGAAGAATCAGACATGGGCTGTGCATATTGCAGTTCGATGGCGATACTTAAATTTATGCGATTGGTAACAAAAGCAAAAGAACTCATAACTGTTTTTATGTACAAACAAAAATTAAACATATCAATAAACAAATCAAATAAGAAAATTGTGGTTTCATGATCACTACACACACATCGATAAATTAACTAGTTTTTTTGTAATAAGATCAAAATTTAAGTGCTGTGAAATTTGAAAACTATGCACATGAAAATGGGAGAACCCACCAATAGTACAAAATAGGTTAACTATATGGGGTAAGTATAATAAATGAGTAATAATTTGAAATGATATCGTATCAGCTATTATTAAAAATGATTACTTAAACTATTGTGTTGCTCATTTGTTTTGGTAACAATGTGAAGTCTATTGTGTTATCTGTTATTTTGAAATGACCACGTAGCCAATTTTTTTTTTTTTTTAAGAAGGATAAATGCTATAAATTAATTTAAAATTATGTTGATTTTCCAACAAAAATTTACGGCAGTTGGTTTTGCCATTTTAATTAAAAAAATTTCCATTTCGACTAAAAAAATTTTCCATTTGCTTTGAGTTAGTTCAGTTTCTTCGCGATCTCCTGAAACCTCTATTTTGATATTTTCTTTGCATTGACCGAAACAAAGTTTTAGCTACGAGTAACTTTACTAATTGTCGATATTACCCCTGAGAGTTTGCGTTATTTACTATCTAGGTGCTACTACCAGGCTTTTTGTTTCACTATACCATCTCTCTTTTTTTTTTTGGTTGTGTTAATTTTTTTTCCTCTCCTCTTCATCTCTTCTCTCCCCGTATTTTTCTTGGTCCTATAATCATGTCCGTCCAATAAAACCCTAATTTTATCTTCCTTGCGTCGTTTCACTCCATTACAGAGCTGTAGAATTAGCTTGAAAAAGGGTGAAGATTAGGGTTTGTTATAGATGTCCTACAATCAATCAAGGCCGGATAGAAGCGAGACTCAATATCGGAGAACTGGTCGATCCACCGGCTACCATCAGCAGCAGCAACAACAGCGATCTTCCACCGCCGCTTACGGTAGGGGAACCGGCGCTGCTACTGCGCCTGCCCCTTCCACTTCCGTCGATTCTTCCTTATCCTCCAATCGCAGGTTTTCAATCAAATTCAATTTTTTTTTGTTTTTTCAATTAGAGAGGTTAGAGAATTCTCCGAGACCATAACTGGACATGACGTTTATTTTGGGGTATTTATGGCAGTTTTAAGAAGGCAGGCAATGCCCAAGGAGGGCAGTCTAGGGTGAATCTGCCGCCTGTGAATCATTCAGTTTCTAAGGATGGTTTGCATCCTAACAATCACAATGGTCCCAATGTACAGCCTCGCTCTCAAGGTATGATCTTTGATAGCAAAGGGGTCTTTTTTCAACTTTGGCCACTTGGTGATCGTCTCGCTTAGCTTAGCTTTTCTTAAACTGTTGCTTACTTACTTACAGGAGCGTCTGGTGAACCGCTTATTGGCGGAACGGCCCATCCAACCAGTGGAGCTATTCCAAAGGCTCCAACTTCTCAGTCTCCCGCCATGAATTCCAAGAGCAATGAGACTCCAAACACAGCTAAAGGTAGGTTTCTTTGCATCTTCTACTTTTGTGTATGAATTATCATGTGCTTCCATAAATGCATAAGATTTAATAACGTTCTCTGTGGCAGCAGCCTCTGGCGACCCTTCTAAAGCATTTGCTTTCCAATTTGGGACACTTGGTCCTGACTTAATGAAGGTATTCTTCTTTTACTTCCTTTTGTATTTTTTTTTTCTTTGTCCACCAACACCTAAATCATCTGCCCTATTGGTTTTCTAGATTCCTGCTCGAACTAGCTCAGCACCTCCGAATATGGATGAGCAGAAACGTGCCCAGGTCCACATTTAGTATTTTGCTTCTGCCATTAATAGGGTTGTTGCCTGCATGAAGGATTCTTTGGTTATACACTGTTAAGTAGTCTGTGTTTTCAATTCCGACTCCAAATTCTTTGTGTTGGGATTGATTTGCTTGCCCTGATCTTTATTCTGAGAAGGAATATCTACTGAAAATTAGTTTGATGACTTTTATTCCACTTTCTGCTGAACTTCGTCTTTCGTTTATGACACAATTACACATTGTTTGCAGATGCAGCAAGCTTCTTTAAGAACTGCAACAAATTTGCCAGCTTCTGTACCTAAAAAAGATTTACCAAATAAGGCTGCAGATAATCAACTGATGAGGAAAGAGGGGCACCATCCATCAAGTGAAAAAGCAGATGGCCATGTCTTACATGTACCCCCTCCAAGTCAAACACAGAAGTCTCCAGTTACAAGTATCCGCATGCCTTCGGTGCAGACACCTTATCAGCATGCTCAGGTTGCTCACCCTGTACATTTTGGTGGCCCGACAATGCATATGCAGCCTCCCAATGTGACTCCAGGCTCGTTTCAGATGCCAATGCCTATGGCATTATCTATGGGAAATACACCTCAAATCCAGCAGCAGGTGTTTTTTCCAGGTCTCCCGGCACATCCGATTCATCATCAGGGTATGATGCATCAGGCACAGGGACATGGTTTTGCAAATCCGATGGGTGCTCAGATTCATCCTCAGTTAGGCCACGTGGGTGTAGGTTTGAGCCCGCAATTTCCCCAGCAGCAAGGAGGAAAATTCGGTGGGGCACGTAAGACAACACCTGTCAAGATTACGCATCCTGACACACATGAAGAGCTGAGGCTTGATCGACGTGGTGACTCGCATCCAGATGGCGAACCAGTGGCTTCAAAACCACATTCTAACACACCTCCTAGATCACAGCCAGTTTCGTCATTTGCTCCTCGACCAGCTAATTTGGTGCAAACCTCGTATAACACCAATCCCATGATATATCCTCCAGTCTCTGTACCCTTAAACAGTGGTCCAATGTCATCCAATCAGGCACCAAGATATCATGTTATTGATGGGTCTCAGAGGGTACAATTTATTAACCAATCTGCTCATACCGCTCCTCAGCTCATCAGACCCGCAGCTCCTGCACATGTTTCACCTGATTCTTCTTTCTCTGTGAAAGCACGCGATGCCCAAAATGGAATGTCATCTTCTCTACCTGCAACTGCGAAGATAACTGTGAAGTCAGCTTCTGCTTCTGAAAAACTTGGATCACCTAAAGCCAGGTCACATGGAGAAGTTAACATTTCTCTGTCCAAAAAGGATGTCGAGGCAGGTTCATTGAGTTCTTCACAGCATCCGAAACCTGGCTTTGTCTCCGGGGTACCAAATTCGTCTGCTCTGCCAGAGAAGTCATCTGTGGAGACTGCTCCAGTTGCAACAGCTGAAATCGGAAGAGGGGTTATGGTGAATGAGTCGAACTCAGTTGAAGATCAGAAACGGACATGTAAGGTGGAACCCCCTCAGAATGTGACTAAGGTATGGTACTGGGTTTTTGTTATTAGGTATTCTTCATAACTTTTGTTAGTTAGCTGGTAATATTACATTTTTTTGCGCTACTTCACACAGGATCATGGACAGACTATGTTAGACCCTCTGGTTTCTGATCTTGGTTCTCCTTCTAGCTGTTTTGCTCCTGAAGCAGAAACCATTGCTGCTAAGGAAAATTCGTCACTTCTAGCTACCAATGGTTTTAGGAAGCAACTGATAGAGGTGACTCCTACGTCTGATTCTCCCACTGCTGACTTATTAAATACAAACAAATCTACAGAAGGGTCAAGCCATGTCTCCTCTGAGATTTCTGTTTCTTCACCGCAAGAGAAAGACCTAAAATGTGATGAGCTGACTGTTTCTGACACGCACGTTGAAAAGTCTGTGATTTCTGATGAGAAACACCAAACAGTATCAGGTGTGCTTGGGAAGGCACATAATGAGGTGGATGGTGCCACAGACATCTGTCCCGACTCTACAAAATTAGCTGAAGTTGCAGATAATACGAGCTCCGAGCTTCCAAATTCTACTCATACTCGGTCTACTTCTGTTCCTCTTGGACATTCTGAAACACTGTCGAGACATCATGCTGTAGAAAATGCTGGTGATAGTTCGACATCTGCCCCAGCTACTCTTTCCAAGGATAAACCTGCTTTTGAACCAAACACTAGGAGGAATACTTCTACAAAAGGAAAGAAGAAGATCAAAGAAATTCTTCAAAAAGCGGATGCTGCGGGGACAACTTCTGATCTCTATATGGCTTACAAAGGGCCTGAAGAAAAGAAAGAGATACCTTCAGAGAGCTCCACTGTTATTCATGATGTTTCAAACCAGAAGCTTGCACCTGCCATACCTCAGGCTGTCGCTGAAGCCATCGTGGATAATGAACCAGTGAAAAATGAACCGGAAGACTGGGAAGATGCAGCTGATGTATCTACGCCAAAGCTGGAAACTGCAGATTATCGTGTGAATGCAAAGGGAGGTTCCTTAGATGAGGTCAGAGACAACTGCAGCAGCACGGAGAAGAAGTACTCCCGGGATTTCCTCCTTAAGTTTGCAGACCTGTTTACTGCTCTCCCTGATGGTTTTGACGTTTCGCCTGATATTGCTAACGCCTTGATTTTGGCTTATATGGGTGCGTCTCATCATGAACATGATTCGTATCCCACCCCTGGAAAGGTTATGGATCGCCAAGGGAGTGGTCCACGATTAGATCGTCGTCCTAGCAATATGGTTGTTGATGATAGATGGACGAAGAACCAAGGTCCTCTTCCCGCAGGATATGGTAACCAGGGTTTCCGACCTGGTCAAGGAGGAAACTCAGGAGTTCTAAGAAACCCTCGTATGCAGGCACCGATTATGTCTAGACCGATGCAACCTATGGGTCCTATGGGAGGAATGGGCAGAAATAACGCGGACTTAGAAAGGTGGCAACGTGGTGCAAATTTCCAACAAAAAGGACTTTTTCCTTCTCCGCATGCTCCTATGCAGGTGATGCATAAAGCGGAAAGAAAATACCAAGTGGGTACTGTTGCAGATGAAGAACAAGCTAAACAAAGGCAATTAAAGGGCATCTTGAACAAGCTGACCCCGCAAAACTTTGAGAAACTGTTTGAGCAAGTAAAAAGTGTCAACATTGACAACGCTGTTACACTTACTGGTGTCATATCACAGATATTTGACAAAGCCTTGATGGAACCTACCTTCTGTGAGATGTATGCAGACTTCTGTGTGCATCTGTCTGGGGCGTTGCCAGATTTTAATGAGGATGGTCAAAAGATTACCTTCAAAAGATTGCTTCTCAATAAATGTCAGGAAGAATTTGAGAGAGGGGAGAAAGAAGAGGAGGAAGCCAGTAGAGTTGCTGAAGAAGGACAAGTAGAACAAACTGAGGAGGAAAGAGAAGAGAAGAGACTCAAGGTTCGGAGGAGAATGCTTGGTAACATTAGACTTATTGGTGAGTTATACAAGAAAAAGATGTTGACTGAGAAAATCATGCACGCATGCATCCATAAGTTGCTCGGGTATGATCAGGATCCACATGAAGAGAACATCGAAGCTCTGTGTAAACTAATGAGTACGATAGGAGTTATGATCGATCATCCCAAAGCTAAGAGCCATATGGATGCATATTTTGATAAAATGAAACAGCTATCACGTAAACAAGAATTGTCTTCTAGGGTGAGGTTCATGTTAATCAATGCCATGGATCTTAGAAAGAACAAATGGCAGGAGAGAATGAAGGTTGAAGGGCCAAAGAAAATTGAGGAAGTGCACAGAGATGCTGCACATGAACGCCAAACCCAAGCTAACAGGCTTTCACGTGGTCCCTCGATGAATTCGTCAGCAAGGAGAGGGCATATGGAGTTCAGTCCTAGGGGAGGAGGAATGCTGTCACCTCCAAGTGCCCAAATGGGTGGTTTTCATGGACCACCTCAAGGTCGTGGCTTTGGTAATCAAGACATTAGATTTGATGAAAGGCAATCTTATGAGCCTAGGATGGTTCCAATGCCTCAAAGGTCAGTCGGTGAGGAGCCTATAACCTTGGGTCCTCAAGGTGGTCTTGGTCAGGGAATGTCTATTAGAAGGCCTGCAGTAGTATCAAACATTTTGCAGTCTGATGCTACTCAGGCCGGTGGTGGAGATTCAAGGCGACCGGCTGGTTGTTTGAATGGTTTCGGCTCACAAAGACCTGCAAGTCCTGTTACTCACGGACGGTCAAGTCCCCAAGAGCGAGGAACAACTTATGTTCACAGGGAGTTTGCAAGTCTGTCTCGTCCTTCTGATCCGTCATCAGAAGTATCATCTGCCATGCAAGGACCACAAGGGCCATCGTCAACAGTAAACAGCTCTCGAGAAAATGCTGTGCCTGAGGAACGGTTACGCGATATGTCCTTATCTGCTATTAAGGAATATTACAGGTACAATATCTCCTTTCTGCCTGGTCATTTGTTTTGTTGTTCTCATAGTCATAGCATATCACTACATATGTGGAAACCTGGGAAAGTACAATTTCGTCAAAATTATGGTTTATTCATATACAGTAGAGCGTTTGTCATACAATTGCATAATTCTTGAAGTAGTTATTGGCTCCTGTATCCAAGCAAACAAAATGGTGAAAAAACAAGAGATGATTATTGTTCCTTGGTTTTAATAGAATCTCTAATAAATGATGAAAATTTGTTGTTCGTTTCTATAGTCTTTTGCCTAGTGCGGCCAACTCCTTTTAATAGATAAAAACACTTTTGTGAGTTCCAATGACTGTTTTTGTGCAGTGCCCGAGATGAGAAGGAGATTGGTTTATGCATGACAGACATGAAGTCGCCAGCTTTTCACCCAACAATGATTTCTCTCTGGGTTACTGATTCGTTCGAGAGAAAAGACAAAGAAAGAGATCTCTTAGCAAAGCTTCTTGTTAATCTCGTGAAATCTGCTGACAACGCCTTAACCGAAGTCCAATTAGTGAAAGGGTAAGAAACAAAAAAACAAGAAATAAAATCAAGAAATATTATCTAAGTCACACTTTGATTTATCAAGTGTTTCTTTTTTCCTGAAAATCTGTTTGCTTTTTTTTGGACAGGTTTGAATTAGTTTTGACAACCCTGGAGGATGCTGTAAATGATGCTCCAAAAGCAGCAGAGTTTCTTGGGAAAATCTTTGGTAAAAGTGTGACAGAGAAAGTAGTGACATTGAAAGAGATTGGTCGGTTAATCCGTGAAGGAGGAGAAGAACCGGGAAGTCTGATGGAGTTTGGATTAGGAGGCGATGTCCTTGGGAGTGTTTTGGAGATGATAAAGACAGAAGCAGGAGAAGAAGCTTTGGTTGAGGTTCGCCGGAGTTCAGGTCTCAGGATTGAAGATTTCAAACCTCCTGCACCTAACCGGTCTAAGATATTAGAGAAATTTACCTAGTAGGAACAAACAAAAAATGGAACCATCTTTTGAGGGCTCCTTTCTTCTTTTTTCTCTTCTTAAAAGTTCTCTCCTTTTCTATTTCTTTTTTTTTTTATTTAAGTGCTTAGACAAACTAATTTGTTAAAAAAAGGGAGTTTCTCTATTCTATTATATAGCAAAACCTTCAAAAAATTTCATTTCTTTTATAAATCGTATATATTTAACCTTTTCGTCGAAAATAACCTGATTAATTGTGCATTTCTCGATGATTTTTAATGTGTAAGATTTTTATATATTTAGAATTGTATATTTTTTTACTACTTTAGAAATCGAAAAGGCTTTTGATTGTTTAGTGAAGCATTTTTACTGAATAGCTGATCTCAATTTCATCTTTCAATAATGGAAGGCCGAAGAGTAGCGAGATGAACGTTAGGCCATTTTAATAACATCATCGCTAAGATTTAAAGAAACCCAAGTGAATCTGCTGTGCTGCTAAGGTTTTTTCTATTATAGTTATAATACAACATGACATTGGCTTCACATACAATTGTTTTACTTTCGAGTTTATTTGAATTTAGTACAAATATATGACTTAAAAATCAAGATAAGTGTCATAAGAACAACTCACACCTAAATACACACATATCATTTGATCGTGATGTAGCGGTTGGTACCGTGCTTTGCCCAATGGTCCTTGAGATCGACCGGGTTTGAGAGATCATGATGCCCTTCCGCAGCAAGCCGGCTTAAAAGCTTGTTGAACGCGCTTCCGCTCATTTTCCGACCACCAACTCGAGCATGCCTTTTGTTGGGCAGTGCCGGTAATGGATACATTGATAGTGTGGTTGTGCAACACGATGATTGCCAACCTCCATTTCCCCATTTGTAGCACTGTCTGAGAACTCCTGTACATGAACATACAGGTGGTGGCATTGTTGTCTCGTCATAAACAACTTGGTTAAGCCCCACCATTTCTTGATTTTTCCAATCAGATTTCGATCCTATCAAGACGTGCTTACTTGCTTCCTCTTCCCCGTAGTCATGGCTCGTCTTTACGAACATTATCTTCGTTAAGTCGTCCTCACTTTCTTTCTTAACCTTCCTCTGATTTTTTGGCCCTCTCTTATTACCAGCGGTTTTCGTTGTAGCCTTTGGGTCTTTCACTCTTTTACCGCGTTTTGGTTTGGCAGATTCCAAGGCAGATCCGGTAGGTGGTGATGTGGGGAGACCGTCGTTTGTCTCCATTTCCCTGGTCTCGTATGCATTTTCACTCAACTGAGGCATGTGATGTTGATGTTGTTGTTGATGATGATGCATGTGTGGATGGTGCATGTGCTTCACACCACGCGATATTTGACATCCCGGTGGACATGCCCCCATATTGGCAACGGCAGCAGCAGCAGTAGCCATGGAGTTCTCACGGTATTGGAGAGCTGTAAGAGCACTGTCTCTCTCCATTATTGCATTGTTGCGCTCAGCTATGGCCGTGTCTCGCTGGAGAAATGCCATGTCCCGTTCAGCTACTGCTGCTTTTTTCTCTGATATAGCAAGATTTCTCTCCTGAATCGCTGCATCTCGCTCTGCTATTATTGACATCACTTGTTTCATCGATGGCTGATGCTGCATCATCCACTGTTTCAAATTATACAATTCCCATTAATAAAACTATCTCCAGCATGAATAAACAGTGTTAAGCTGATAAGATGTATGCAGCAGAGAGACTAGAACAAATGATTTGATTTGAAGCTGATGGAAAAGACATTGTAAAAGTACCTGGCCCTGAGCTGCTTTATGCCGACCATTCTCACGGTGCCCACCATCATCCATTTGAGAGTTTTCAAGTTCTAATATGTTGAAAATATAGCTTCAACAAAAATTGAGCAAGCTACTGGAAAATAAAAATAACAGATTGATCCATCTTTCAATCCTGCACATTCCCATTCATTATAACATTGTCAAAAGAACATTTAATGCGCCACAAAAAGAAGCATTAGTGAGCTGACTCTGAAGCAGGAAGGTTTTGTAATTGAATTCTTAAGTATAAGAAATCTAGCAACATAGATATCAAAGTTGTAAAAGAAATCTAGGGAACATGGAAGTAAGAACAGATAAATTATGGCATGTCATATTGACAAGGTACAAGATGATCTCAAACTCCCGCAATTACTTATCTTCCTAATTTATCCCCTGACAGAACAATCATATAACATTATAAACAAATGTAAAGCTCGAATCGGATCAATAATAGTAGATAACTAGTAGCAAAGAGTGTCGAAACTCAAATAATGAACCTAAATCAAGTTTTTTGTTTGTTACCGAATTAGTCCTGGAAATGCAACAAAAGCCACTAGGCAAGCACGAGATTAACCAACAAAAACACTTCAAAAGTAGCTCTCGCGTAGTTGAGAAGGCATAAGACCTCGGAATCTACCACAGAAATCATCCAATTTTACGCCAAACAAAATCAACGGATCATTCCTTCTATAAATCCAAACAGCGAAAGGAAGAGACGAGGACTCACCAGACCAAGCTAGGGTTCCGGTGGATTGAAAGGAGGCATATGAAGTGAAGATACGGCGGATTCCGGATCCAACGGCTGAGACTGGTTGCAAAAACTTGACGGAGGTTTTGGGAAGAGAAAGGAAAGAGTTGGGTGCGTTTAGGTCTAGGGCTGAAACAAACACGCTCACGGGATATTGTGCCACGTCCCCCACCCTTCCTCTCTCTTTCTTATTTTTGCTCTTCTCTATTTTATTTTTGGTCAAATTTGTTTCTTCTTCTTCTTTTTTTTTTTGGGTGTAAATGTGAAGAATTCTTCTATACTTTCATTTCTTTTTTACTTTTACTTTTTCACGACAACATGTTTTTTTCCCTTTTCTGTTAATAAGATGTACAATAATTCACTGTAGATGATATGCCCAACTGTTTCTAGAAGATGAGAAATGGGTCCAAATTTTTCTTTACCAAAAAAAAGGTTGATGTGGTGAACTGAAAAAAACTACTAGTGACAGTTGGTTTTTTGTTTTTGTTTTTTTTGTTTTTTGATATCTAATCCAAGTGAGAAGCAATAAAAACGCTTTTTATGTCTTCAAAGCTGGTGGATGTCAAAAAAAAAAAATGTCTTCAGAGCTGGATAAATGTGAAAGCCCATATTTTATGAGCCTATATTTCGATGAGGCCCATATGAAAACAATGCCCTAGTATAATTCGTATATATAAGAAGGTTTTTGCTCTAAAAAGGCCAGCGAGTTGCTCCCTAGGGTTTTCACATATTCGGCGGAGGTGCTCGTCTTCATCTCTTTGGGAAAATGGTGAAGATCTCTTCCCTTTATGCGTTATTGTTCTTCTTTTTAATCGTTAGGAAATTATCAAACTATGTTAATAGACGCAGTATATTTTAGATGTTCTGAGTATTTGTTTGAGATCTAAGTTACGATTATTTCTTCCAACTCTTTCGCTCACCATTTTCCTTTGATTCGGCATTTGGGTCGAATGTTTGACAGGCGAAGAGAACGAAGAAGGTCGGAATCGTTGGCAAGTACGGTAAGGCTTCTCACCTCATTTTTCCTCTATACAGAAGCTCTCATGAAATCGTATTTAGGATGATTAAGCTGTGAAAATTTGGGATAGAACAATTTTTAAGTCTGAGGGATAAAGTTATTTGGTTCTGTTGCTCATTTCGAATAAAGTTGCTTAGTGTTGTTTTCAACAGTTTATGTATTGTGAAGTCTTTTTTTAACACATAAAATAGATTTATCCATCTGGTTCGATGATTCTCGTTCTGTCACATTAGAATTTTTAGGAAAGATGCCTACCATTGATTACTTCGTTTCTTTTTGTCTTTTCCTTTTTATTTCTTAATTGGGGTTATATAGAACGTCAAGTCTTTTAACATTATCAATGACTGTGTAATTCTCAGGTACTCGTTATGGTGCGAGTATCAGGAAGCAGATCAAGAAGATGGAAGTCAGCCAGCACAGCAAGTACTTCTGTGAGTTCTGCGGCAAGGTATAATGATTATTCGTTTTCCCACTAATCTTTAACTGTTTGCTGAATCTTTTTTGGTTAAAATAGTTTGTAATTGTGGATTGATTTGATGTATGGTTGCAGTATGGTGTGAAGCGAAAGGCCGTCGGAATTTGGGGATGCAAGGATTGTGGCAAGGTCAAGGCAGGTGGTGCTTACACAATGAAGTAAGTCTTTTTTCACGTATTGTTTTGCTTTGGATTTATTATTAATCAGTAATGGCTTTTTCTGACAAAGTGTATCTTTTGTAAATTGCAGCACCGCGAGTGCCGTTACCGTTAGAAGCACCATCAGGAGGTTGAGGGAGCAGATCGAGGGTTAAATCTGCTTGTTTTTTATATCTGGCTTCTCTGTTTTTGACAATTGTGTTTTGGAATACTATGCTTGTGATTTTGTTTCAAGACGTTATTACATTTAGCAAGGTTTTAATCGAGTTTGAATTTTTATTCTATTTCTCATCATACTTAATTACAAGCTCATTGCTATAACTAGGTTTCTCATCAATCATTCAGTCTGAGACTTCTGAAATGTTTAAACGATCGTGAACTTTAATCTTGCTTAGCCTTGGTTGACCTTGAGCTCAAATGTTTAAAATAGTGATAGTTCACGATCAAACCGAGATGTTTGAACCTCAAGCAAGGTTACAGGTATGACATGAACTACTAGGAGGATTACACATTTGAGCTAAATCGAAACTTTAACCGAATTGTTTTAACCGCACAAACAAGATCCTGTACTACAAATTTTATGTTTAGAATTCTGTCGAATCTGAAATAACCAAGAAGTTAGGTTAACCTTGAACTATAAATTCTGAGTTTTACATGATATTAAAGAAAAAAAAAACAAAAAAACAGAAGCTGAGTAGAAGAAAAAGACCCAGCAAATTTCTAGACAAACAGTGAAAACAAAAATCCAACTAACTGGGGAAACAGTTTTCAAGGTCTTTCTTTTACCCCCAACGAAGCCAGGATGTTGCGATTAAGTTATCTTTTGTAATTCCTGACATTCTTTCAAGATTTCAACTTCCAATTCCATTTTAGCTCTCATCTTCCTCTACCCAATGATTGCTTGTATGCTCCATTCAAACAGTAGCTATCGTTTCAGTTGCTCATCCGCATGCAAAAACCGAGCCACTAGACGTACCACCATTGAGAACGCAGAGCACTAGTATCATGGTTTGTGTACCTTAAAGCCAAAGATTCTTGGGACATAGTTCTGAGCCGGTTTCTGCGGCTTTAGGTTCCCGTAAGTCATCAAGAACAAGTGAGGGAATGTGGTTCCAAAGTAAGCTCCATCAATATCTGCAGAAATCATTCAAGGAAAACTCTAAGACATGATAACACTAACATGTCGCGCTGCAGCATTTATGCCAGTATTATTCAACCATAGATTAGATTGTATCAATTTAAGCCAAAGCAGAGCTAAACTTTCACTCAAATATTGAAATGATAAAGCCAAAAAGATTTTTGAAAAGAGAAAAAGGATACTGCCTTGGAATTTAGATCGTGGGTAAGATATATCTTCGCATTTTGGGCAGTATATTTTCACAGTACTCGATCTCGGTATGTCGGATTGTCCGACAGGAAGACAAGACTGTCCGCAACAGAAAACTCTCGGGCATCTCCCGAAGTCACAGTTCTTATACTTCTCAGTCTACAGAGAGATCATTAACATGAGAAAATCGTTAAGTACACGATGAAAATTAAAAGCACGAAAACAAAACAAAAGAGTAAAGAAAAACACTAAGAAACACTTAACCATTGCAGCCATTCCTTTCGTTGTCAAAATGTAACGAACATGAATAAGACCATATAGCATTTCAGCAGCTGATTCCACCATTTCATTCTGTTCTTCAGTAAACATCTCACCTAAATTCCACCAAAAGATACAAGATTTCAGACCAAAAAGATTTCTAACTTTACTCGTTCCTTTTAGACAAAAAAAGAAGGGATCGGATCACTTACTGTTTGAAGACTCAACGTCTAAAATGAGATCAAGTGCATAATCATAGTAAGGAACTTGAGCACTTAATCCACAAAGATTGAAATCATCTTGTATATAATCTTCATCGACTTCACAGAAGAAATCATTCCCTCTCAGGTTACAGAACCAAGAGATCCACGACGTATCATCACCATCCGATCCACTCACCTCCGAACCTTCACTATCCGTTTCCGATTCCACTGCTGAAAATCAAGCAATAACATTGTAAAAAAAAAATGCAATTTACTAAAAAAAACCTCCCTTATGCAAAAATAAATATTTACCATGGGGAAGCTGAGATTTAGCAGTAGAAGTAGATGTGAATGAGAAGGGATCTTTGTCTTTAGAAGAGAAAACCCTAGATGTGGAAGGTGAAGATTTCTCGAGTTTCTTGTTGAGTGCATCGTTGATTCGTTTCCGATCAATTGATCCGCCGAGGATCTCCGATCTCGATGACCCACCACCTCCTCCACTCCTTTCCTTGTACATAATTAGATTCCCTCGACAAGAAAAGGAGATTTTTCGAGCTTAGATTCCTCAAAGTCTCGGACTTTCTGAAGCTTGAGAGAGAATACGGAGAAAACTAGGGTTTTCCTTATTTTTAATTCAATTTTAGTTTTGGGTTTTAATTTTAATTTAAATCATTTTGGTCACAGAGTGGAGGACAGGACATAGGAGATGTAAAGATGGTCTCTTCTTCTCCACTGTTTATTTTTTGTTTCTTTCATTTTTTTTTTCCCGTTCTCTTTTGTTACAGTGTTCGATCCAACAAAACAGAGCCGATCAATCCAAACTGAATCTAAGTAGCGTAATCTGGTTTGTTTAGTTGTACTCCTTATAAACCTCTACATATCATGTTATATAAATTATTGGTTAATGTAATAAACCAATCAAATCGGTGAAAAGAAAAACATGTTGAATAATTATACATAACCGATAATATATATGTGCAAGTGTAATTGACTTCATCGATATTATTTTAAAATTTGAAGCTTTGATTCTAAGCTTCGGAGGATTTACTATTTGTTGGAATGACAGAACGTTCCAAAACTTTGTCTTCCAAATAACTAACGATTATTCGTTTTCACCTCTCATATAAACAAATCATGAGTTCGTACTAACCTTACTATGAAAGTATAAATCAAGTTAAGTAAAGGAAATAGAAGGAATCTTATGATACTTAAGCACTGTTTATGAGTATAGTGTGGCTCCGTAATAATCTCATACACAATGCTCCGTAATGATCTCACGAGGCCAGTAAGTTGGGAGTATGTCAGCCTGACTGACCGGATCAGGTTTTGAAACCGGTTGGTACAATATAGTTTTTAGATGGGCTGCTTATATGGGCCTAACTAAAACATGGTATGAACTATCTTAATTGCTTCCAAGTTCCATCAGAATCGACCAAAAATGATGGGCCACAGATACGGATTCCATAACCTGTGACAACAAAATCAGCAAAGTTAACCACATTATATCACAAAGTGTATTGGAAGGGATTAGTTGTTAATACTAATAAATATGTTGGAAGATACATTGGTCAATGGAGCTAGGCCCGACAAAGGTCATCGGATTGTAAATATATCATGTAAACATTAAGAAAACCGAAAGTAGTTAAGGAAAAATTAAGAGTTGTAGCATTAATAAAATAACATTAAATTTGGACATGAATAGCACGAACTGAACCTTATACGAAATCTAAGAGTCGTGCACCACGCTACCACAAGCTCTAGTCTTATAGTATACTAATCTATCTAATTGATTAAAAATAGAGTGAATTGGCGAAATATACCTAAAATTGGTCAAAATTTGCGATATAGGAAAAACAGTAATCTGACGGACAGTTGGCATTTCAAAATCGTGGCAGATTACACAAAAACTCCTGCCTACGCGTTTCTTTGATTGTAGCGAGCTATTTTAATTTTTTTAAAACATAAATTAACAGATAATATCAGCCGATGTAGCTTCCTGTAGTTGTTGTAGATCTGCTTGTAGGTGTCTGTCCACCACAAAATATTACCACTTCCAACGCAACATTTAATGCAGAATCTAGAAGATTTGGAGGATGTATATGGCATGACTATGTATACATATATGTGCATGTTATTAAAGTTTTTTACACTCTATATAAAGAGGTATCGCTCACTCGACTGACAAACGTGAATTATCTTACCGAGTGAATCTCTGTACGAAGATATGCAGTTACAGCGAGTTCCAGCTCTTGTCGATTTTTGGTTCCTATGTCGTTGCAACGACTACACAAACGAAGACTAACATCAAGCAATTGATTGGAGAAGAGTTAACGACTATGTTTTAGAGGATGGCATGCTCGGAAAGCATATATCTTGTTCCAGATTACTAGGCACCTACTGTAGCAGGGGATATCATGGCTCAATTTGCACTCATGTCTCCAGTGACCAGACGTCCACCTCGACGCCCATGTAAACAGCGAATGTTTTCTCGTGGTGAATTCAGAGTATGAAATTTGTTATCATGGAACTCGCATTGTTAGATGTTAACTTATTATTGTTCATGTAAACCAGTATGCAGGTTATGTAGTGAATATTTTTCATGTCTACAGAAGCGTGTAGTTGTTAAAATCTTTGGAAATTGTCTAAGTATCGATGTTGTAGACAAGTTTACTGTTATTGGTTATACTGTCATGGCTGGAGTAACTGCTGCCCCGAGCGTTGCCAAGATGACCCTTAGCTCCAGTCATGCACAAGGGTTTCACGAAGAAGAGAAGTTAGAAGTATCATTGTTGTTAAGTTATATAATCTTTTATAACATCCACCATTCCCGATATTACGCTAACCAATACTTTAGAGCGTTTTACTGACTTCTACCGTTGTAATTTGATTCATTACACATCTACTAATTTTGTTAAAAATTACAGATCAGTTATAAACTCAATTATGGAACTTGCATTGTTAGATGTTAACTTATTATTGTTCATATAAACCAGTATGCAGATTATATAGTGAATATTTTTCATGTCTACAGAAGCGTGTAGTTGTTAAAATCTTTGGAAATTGTCTAAGTATCGATGTTGTAGACAAGTTTACTGTTATTGGTTATACTGTCATGGCTGGAGTAACTGCTGCCCCGAGCATTGCCAAGATGACCCTTAGCTCCAGTCATGCACGAGGGTTTCACGAAGAAGAGAAGGTAGAAGTATCATTGTTGTTAAGTTATATAATTTTTTATAACATCCACCATTTCCGATATTACGCAAACCAATATTTTAGAGCGTTTTACTGACTTCTAACGTTGTAATTAGATTCATTATACATCTACTAATTTTTATAACATCCATCATTTCTGATATTACGCTAACTAATTTTGTTGGTATCGAAGAACTCAATTTTGGTGTAGTTCATCGAGTACATTTGCGGACTGCACTTGTGCCGAAGGTGGAACATTAAGGCATCAACCACCTGCAATGAGATAGAAGAGATATCATAAGAAACTGAACAAATTTGGTAACAATACACAAATAATTAAGAATGACTTACCTTAGGATCCAGCACCCGTATCCGCTCACCAATGAAAACCTCTTGGGTGGTACGAGATGAACCCTCGTTTATTTCCATAGGACATCTAAGAAATTTAGGACGATAAACGCAGAATACAGAATTAGACAATATTACCAAATGAACTTAGTAACAATTACCTGTACCGATCCAAATGAATTATTTCCAACTAACAACAAGAATACAGAATTAGACAATACTATCAATCGTCCAGCAGCTTGGCTTTCAATCCCTTAACACACAATAGAAATCTCTATAAATGATAGATGAAGTCTTCAGTCTTTTGCTTTTACGAGGACCCTATTTCTTTGTGTCCGGTTTCTCTGTCGTTAAGGTAGTCGGGTTCTTCGACGTGGTGCGTTTCTTCCTGAGTCAACCTAGTGAGAAAGAATGTGATACAGACAAAGCAGCCATGACAAAAAAATGATAGATTCATTACAACGGTACAAGTCAGTTAAAACGATCTAAAGTATTGGTTAGCGTAATATCAGAAATGGTGGATGTTATAAAAAAATATATAACTTAAATGATACTTATACCTTCTCTTCTTCGTCAAGCTCTCGTCCAGAGATGGTACAACCGTTATCATAACCAACTGAACAGCATAGAAAAATCATTCGACCACAATTTTCTTCAGAGAGAACTCCAACTCGTGCTTTTTGTTAACACGGAGAAGTCTTGCTAGCATGTAGAAACCAAAATTACCGGAAAAAGACGGTATCTCCAGTTGTGAATCTTGCATTCTCCTCACTTCGTCGTCGTCAAGTGCACTAAGGATGGCATAAAGCGTTTTAGATTTCTAGTAAAAATTAACCCTCTCCCCTATTGGCTCTGAACCCGTGGCGAAAATCCTCTCAGAGAGATGAAAATTAGATATTTGAGAAACCCTGTTAACGTAAAATAAAAGGAATCAGAGGATAAACTAGAGCGGAGAAAACAAAGTTGCAGAAATGGAAGCTTACCAAACAAAGAAATTCACCAAAAGTCTTTGGATATGAAGATTTTGTGAATGTGTGATTCAAAATTTGAAATGAAAAGAAGGAACCGCCTTTGAATTTAGTAATTTATGAATTTCTGAAATTTGTCTAAATTTATATAATCTCTTCAATATAAAAAACTTATAATTTTTTACCTGCCCGGAATGTGTGGACAAGGGTAAGATAGTATTATAAAATTATGTACAGTTCTCGAATAGTGTTTTGGATATATCCGCAAATTAGGAATAGTAACAGGTATATCTCATACATTTACTTTTAAAAATAAACTGAATATCGTGTTTTCATTGACTCACCCAACGATAATTTTGGGATCTAGGAACTGTTTTTGCAAAACGGAGCCTTTGTCGGACAAAGTAGTCATGCCTCATTACACCGACTATGACAATTCCCAAGTTTAATTATTTTCGTAAATTTGATTTTACTGGGAATTTTCTAAATCAAAAAAAAAAAAATTAAAAAGCAACATGATAATAATTGAATGTCGAATCACACGAACAAAAGGAAAAAGGAAATTTACACGCGGGTCGGCTATTGTTATACTATACCGGTCATAGTATTGGCCCACGCCTCATGAAACTGTCGTCTCACGATACGATAGGCTTTGTTGTAAGACAACATTATCACCTCTACAAGCTAGTAGTATATCTACTCGGGTTCGATTTCGGTTTTGTTAAAAGAATAAACCAAAAAACTTGATTTGTAACGAAATTGGTTTTGATTTGATCACATATGTATTTCTTGACTTACATTTAAATAGAGTAAATAAGTATTGTCGACAATGCAGATCTGACTGAAACAGCGTTTCCAAACTAAGGTGTAGAACCAAGATTTTTGCTAATCATATCATTTTGTAATATCACATTTCTAAATTTTGATTACGTAGTTCAAAATGTCCAGTGACAATATAGAAAGATGAGATCTCAACAATTATTATTATTATTTTTCCATATAATTTGTTTACATAACAGAATCGGAAAGAAATGCTTAATAATATTTTTTTTTTAAAGAAATAAAAAAAAAATCAATTACTAGAGAAGATTGTCGTTGACGCCCGAGTTAAAGGAAGCGATGACCGCACGAGTCATTATTTCCGTTATTAACGAAACGTTTGACTGCGATTGAAGCACACGCGCGAGATCCTACGCCTACCGCTTTATACAAATGAACTTAAAATTGATTTTATTTTGTTTGCTTTCTTATAAGATTACGAAACGGCCGATTCTTAATCAATTCCGCTTGATTCCGCCGTCTGTCCCCGCCTAAGCTCCGGCGACACTCGGTAGATCTCGAGACTTCTCTTCTATCTATCCTTCTCTATGATTCCCAGTGGTTTTCTAAAAGCATTTTCTCGTTTTGTGGTTCGCATTGAGTCTGTGTCGATCATATTAGGAACGAGAGTTGTATTCGATTCGAATACTGTATTGTGTTGTTCGTCTCTGATGTGTATATATTTGGTTATTCTGCATTTGATTGTGACAGGTTGATGATCGAAGAGATTTGGGGTGGTGAGGTGAATCGGAATAACGATTTAAGAGAGAAGAGGAGTGATGAATGATAGAGGAGGCTCGTTTGTCGCCGTCAGGCGGATTTCTCAAGGCCTTGAACGAGGAAACGTTTACCATTCTTCATCTGGTAATTTTCATCACTCGCGATTCCTGCTTCTACATCACGATGCTTTTTTTTCTTCTCTTCTTCTTATGGAACAAACGCGTTTTCGTCTCTCTCTCTCTCTCTCTCTCACTTTTACATCAACCTTTTTCTATTTCTCTTTCTTCGCTGGCGATTGCCTTTATCTCTCTAGATTTGGTGTCGCAGATCTATGTTTCGCCATTTGCGTTTATTGCTCTTGTGATAAATCCGTGGGGTTATGTGTGTGGATCTTCTTTGTAAGTGCTATTTTTAGTTTGCGTGATTTCTGTCAAAAGCTTTTATCCGACTTCCATAGTTGAGATTAGTCATCCTTTTACATTTCTCTCTCACTAAAATTGCTAGTCTGTTTTCATGGAGCATTTTGCTAATTTCTTTGTTAGCTGTCTCAATGCTTCCCTATTGATTGTGTAAAAAATGGGAAGCTAATAATGGAGGTGTTCCGTTATTGTTTGGAGTCAAGTACTTTGGAATTTTTCATCGTTCTCTATGTGGAGAATTTTGATGCGTAAATGGAATTGTATGCTTCTCACGTATTCCAGAGACTTGCAATATGTAGCTGTACCCTCAAATCTATAAAAGTCAGCTAAAATTTGGTTGACTAGTCACTCTCTTTTATTAATTACTAAGTTCTTTATGATTATTGCAGCTGATGTTGTGGCTGGATCGGCAGCATGGTTAGGCCGTGGCCTTTCTTGTGTTTGTGCTCAGGGAAGAGATGGTGATGCCCGTCCTTCATTTGATCTAACACCTGCTCAGGTTAAAACATTTTCCTCTGTTTTCTTGGTTACTCTATAATGATAGTTTGTTTCTAGCTATAACTTTTATCCTCATTGTCAATGCTTGCAGGAGGAATGCCTGCAGAGGTTGCAGAACCGCATTGATATAGCATATGACAGCTCAATATCTCAGCATCAGGTACGGTTTCCTCAAAGGTTGTGTTTCTAAGGACTGCTCAGTGCTCACAATGAACTTATGCTATGGTAGCCGTCTCAAGTTTACCAGCACTTCAATTTACCTACATTACATGAATATTGCTGGCTACTTAATATAGGAAGCTCTGAAGGATCTTTGGAAACTTGCCTTTCCTGAAGAAGAGCTACACGGAATTGTATCTGAGCAATGGAAGGAAATGGGTTGGCAGGGAAAAGATCCATCAACAGATTTTAGGTAATGTCACTTCACATCTCATTGTCATAATCCTTAGGTTTATACACTTCAGTTGACTCACAGTGGAGCGTCTGGCAGGGGTGGCGGTTTCATATCTCTAGAAAACTTGTTGTACTTGGCTAGGAATTTCCCGGTACGCCTTTACAAAAGTTGCTAAATTGTCTTTTCCGTTAAATTTTCCGATTCCCAACTTTTTCCCGGTACGTCTTAAGGAAAAGCTGCAAAAAAATTTCAAAATTGTCTGGACGAAACTCGATCTGTACATGTTTTTATTTGTTACCACGGATGATATTTCTATCATGTAATGCCATTTAAGTTCTGTCACTCAAATTTTCGACACCATTTGTTTGTTTCCTGCAGAAAGCTTTCCACGACCTTCTGCGGAAGCAGGTTGGGGATCGTTCTGTGTGGGAATACCCATTTGCTGTTGCTGGCATCAATATTACGTTCATGCTCATCCAGATGCTTGACCTTGAAGCAGGTACAGCCACGATACTTATTTTCCATGATTGCATAGATATTCCTTTTTGGGCAAGCTCTTACATGCCATTAGGCAGCAATCTTGAGGCAACTTGCTAAAATAGCATGCTCACTACTAATTTCGATTTAGTGTAAAGCATTGCCTTTGGTACTTATGTTGAGTACCCTTTTTTGAGATACTCAGGTTCAGTAACAGTATCCTAGTTGCGCTAGCTAACAATCAGTACGCTTTAATTTTACAGTGAAACCACGGAGTATTGTCGGGGAAACATTTCTGAGGTTCCTTACGGGTAGTTCTCAGACGATGCTGGTTAAATTTTTGTCTCGTTCTGTGTCACGAGTTAGATTGCTAAGCGAGTGTCCTTGGACTTGTGTTGTTTGCAGTGAACGAATCTGCGTTTGACCTTCTATATTGCATTGCCTTCAAGCTAATGGATCAGCAATGGCTCTCCATGCGCGCTTCATATATGGAATTCAATGTAAGTATTTGCAGTAACCTTTTCAAGTGTAACTATGGCCTATCGAAGTTCACCAACTGAAAAAAGGTAATTGTGTGAATAACAGACGGTTATGAAATCGACAAGGCGGCAACTAGAGAGAGAGATTATGGTTGAAGGCATAACACGTCTTGAAGATTTACCATCATACAGTCTTCTCAGCCAATATAGCATACAAAAGACTACTTTGTAAGTAGAAAGATCTAACACCTCAGAATCTCTATAGCCTAAAACAACAACAAAGCTTAATTACAAGCTAAAAAGAAGAAGACACGGTTTCTTTCCGTATCTCTACATTTCATCACTAGTGTTTGGTTCCATGAATCATCGGATATTAAAATTGTTGTTGCTTTGTGGCGAGGTTCAGGGTTTTGTTTTTCTATGGGTTTAGTTTTTTTTTTCTAACTGGTGGTGCTTGTAAAGACGTTGTTGGTTTAGTTTCTTTTATGGGCTAATAAATCACTTGGTTATATTTCCAGTCCACTGCTTGAGCCGGCCTATATCATTTGGGAGATATGTCTACATGATTTTCCTTTTTCTTTTACGAATGCATATAACTAAATCAATAAAAACGGGTCCATCTATGTGTAAGTTTGCAATAGTCAAAGCCTTAAGTGGAATGAAGAGGAATTTTCGGGTTATTTTGGTACTTCCATTTTTTTTCTTCTTCCTACGAGTTATATTAATGTGTGTGATTTTGTAATTTACGCAATATTTTACAAAGAAAAAGATAATATGTAACAATAAGGCAAAAAAAAAAAAGGATTGAAAGAAAATATAATTTATTACAGACAATAAGGTAGTAGTTCCAAAGATCCAGACCAAAAAAAATATCGACCAAAAAAAAAACTTGTCCACCCTGTAAATTAGCTCATTATATTGTACATTAGTACCATCGTGACTCCAATCATTCCATAGCTCATGACTCCCTTAGACGCCGCGTTAGGCGGCGATGGAGACGGTGAAGTCGTCGATGGAGACTGCTGTGAAGTCGGCGATGGAGAGGGCGAAGGCGTCGACGACTCTGATTCATTAGCCGGTGGAGAAGCAGATGGAGACGGTGTTTTAGGTTTGCGAGGAGAGCGAGGGGCAAGCGGCGGAGGAGTGGAAGACGGTGGAGTCCGAGGAGAAGGCGGCGGTGAAGATCTTGGAGAAGACGGTGGTGAAGGAGTGGCCGGAGAGGAAACGGCAGCGAGCACGGGAATGGCGAGTTTCATGCCACCGAGGCAGTGACCAGGAGTAGGGCAAATGAAGTGTATAGTTCCAACTCCTGTAAGATCGATCGAAGTGTCTCCATCGGAGAAGACCTCTGTTGCTGCGCTACTGTCGCAAGCATCGAAGTCTGCTTTATCAACCACGGACACCGAGTGTGTAGGACCATATTTGAATTCTTGAAGAAAAAAAGAAGAAGATACAAGCATTAGCTTTTTAAGGTAAAGCATTATCTTGCAAAGGGGGAAAAAACAGGGATTTCTTGGGAAACAAGTAATCAGACAAGGGAATAAAATTTACCTAGAGTGTCACCGACTCTGAAAGTCTTTCCACTAACCCAAGTCGTGTAATCGACACCACTTTCCCAACCAGAGGTATCGCCGACCTGGAAAGTCACAGCGAAGATGGCAGGGAATGAGGCTATGAGGAGGATAGCGACCGCCCCGGTTAATCCCATTGAGTTGTAATGTAAATTAAGAACTTAAAAAATTGATGAAGACTCAAGAGAGAGAGAGACAGTGAGAGGCGAGGAAGATGGCAAAATGGTGATTGGTGAAGTGCATTATATAGAGAAATAGAGGCTATGAGGAGGAGGAGGACGACTACTAAGAGAGAGAGAGAGGAGAATTTTTGAAAAGGTCGTCGTTTTTTTTTTTTTTTTTTTGATTAGGTTAAGGAAAGGGTCGTTGATTGATCAATTGCCAACTTGTTTCTTCACTATCATCAGCTGTTTTTTTTTAATATTTGTATTTATAATTCATTGTTGTTATGTTTACCAATTCTTTCTTCTTTTTCATTGTAATTTATAAGTGACGAATTCTATCCATGTGCAATTAGCTCAACGTTTTCTCAATTTGTTATGACATTTTGGGAAGAATTATTTAGGAGTGCTTCTTGTGAAGTGGTTATATGCTCAAAAGGCCGACCTAGATCTGAAAATATTCGTATATCCAAAAGCTCAGAAAGTTACATGTTTGACCAAAAAAAAAACATGCATGAGTACAATAACTTATCAGTATTATAACGATATTGGTATGTAATTATGTACCATGTGTGTATATGGCTTTCTATTATTACAAATGCAGTCAAATGCTTCATTAGCTTCATTTTAACAATTTTTTTTAACAAAAAGTACCCCAACTTAAAAAACTTTTATTGTTGTTTGGAAATTGAAAATGAATCTCGGTTGAACAAGATTCTATCAGTAAAATCTCTATTGTGATTCTTGAAAGCTTTATTTTTCAAAAGAACTACGAATTGTATCTATGTCTACAAAATTACATTACTCGTTTATGCATTTAGCTTATATTTTAGTGTTTTAGATGGAATTAGCTGCCTTTGACCAATAAATCGCTGACCTATAACAATTGTTCTGAAATTTTCGGTGTAGAAGACTAAAACGATGAAACAAATAAACAATATAATATCTATGTTAGAATATGAATATTTCAACTAGCTGATTCACTTTGATCAAACCTGAATTTGAATGTTTGGACAGATACTTTACTTTTGGTAAAAATGTCACGTATATTAGAGCATTTATTCTTTCCGAATGTGTCAAATGACAAAGAAAAAGATATCAAATGATCGAAATCAAATCTTTTCTTTTTTTTTGAACATTTTATACGAAATTAAATCTTGTTTTTTTCATCAGAGCAATGATAAATAAGAATAAGATAATAGCTGCAGGGAATTGGGCAATTGGCTAACACGTTCTGTAACCTCTTTGACAATAATCGAGGATACAGATTCGGTACGGTGTTTCTATGAAAAAACAAATATTTGCATTTTCGGAATTTGCTGGCGAGTTGCGACATCCAAAAAATTTAAAAAGGAAATCCAAAATGGTCAATGACTGAACACAAATCCCATAATGTAAAGACTACTGTATTAGTTTCACTGAAAATGAAATCATAGTTATCAAGAACCAATCATTTCTCTTGCCATTTAGTATCTTCGAAGTATGGCTGTTTTTAACTTTTTATCATAAAAACGTGTGAAGCTAAATCTGGCAAAAAGATTTGTAAATTATGACTTATTTTCCACACGCATACATATAATTAAAAAAATGCCAGTGTATTAATACATAAATTTAAAAGTTACACTGTTACACTTAATTTGCATTGGTTGTTTCAACAAAAATGTGTATAGACGGAAGAAATTTGGAATTCTCTTGAATTTTACTTTGATGTTTTAAAAATAACGGTTCTTTAGTAAAATATATATTTTTTTTTGTCTAGTACTCAAGTAGCAACAAATTTCCAACAATTATTTATTTGCCAAGTAAATACTTTACCAACAAAGTTTGACATACTTGTTTTCCACGCGTATTTCTAATTAGCCCAAACCCATGAGCCTTAAGCTGGGCCAACATTCATCGGCCTCAATATCGACATAAGTCAATGTCAACACGCATTTCAGAGAGAGACTCGAAGTTAAAGAGAGATCTTAGAGAGATCTTTGTCTAGAAACATTTTGGTTTTTTGGAGCCTCCAAGTTGGCTCTGTCTCTCAAGTCTTAAAGTCACAACCACTTACATAATATTTATTTTTGTAATTTGCATTTCCTTCCTTCTGCTTACGTTGAATCTCACCACCTTCTCTCTCTATCTCCTTTGAGCCCAGAGGCACAAGAAAACAATTGATCACTTTTTTTCTTCAGCAAAAAGAAATCTCACTGATTCGAGCCAAATACAGATAACATTCACCTTCATATAACTCCAAAGCCTCATTACTTTATTAATTTCTTTCGGATATTTATGTTAGTTAAATGCCCCCATGAACCCATATCCCCATGAACCTATACGGCTATACAAATACTAGTTCCACTTCCAAACTTTTTTTTTTAAATGACGTCTTTGTACACAGAAGAAGTTAAAATTATATATGTATACATACATGATACAACCTAAAAAAGGAAGAAAGAGAGAAACCGTATATATAACATGGTTATGAATACTATGGTGGCTTTTTGATATAATATCCAAAAAGCAAAACATGCAACTAGTCATACATCCTTCACAGATACCTTTCAATCAACGTGTCAAATCCCCAAAAGCAAATGGGAATTCTTTATTTGAACATTATTATCCAATGATTCATTCAATGTTTATGTCTGTGAACAAGAGCAGGTAGTTTCCAAAACCGTTTTCAAAGAGAAAACAAGAATTTGTTGACTTATTTTATATATATAAAAAAATAAAACAGGATATCTTCATGCGTATATAAAACGGGCGTTGCATGCTTGCTTACTATAACTCAGGATCATTGTAGCATTAACAAACAGAATCCCAAAGTACCAAAGTAAAGATTCTTGAAAACTCAATGGAGGAAAGAATTGATGAGAGTGTGCTTGGTGATTGCTTCACCAGTGCTATCGCACTTACCGAGTCAGGTGTCCCTCATGTGCCTACCCGTTACATTCTTCCGCCTTCACAACGACCAATGCTCGGTCCAAGCATTGGCACCGATACCATCACTCTTCCTGTCGTTGATCTCTCCCTCTTACACGATCCTTTGCTTAGACCCCGAGTCGTCCATGAGATTGAAATCGCCTGCAAGGAATTTGGTTTCTTTCAGGTACAAATACTATTTCTTTCTTTTTTTTCCTACATTCACTACGTATACATGTCTGGTTAGGTAACACACATTACAAGTTATGTAACTCAGTTTCATGCATTATTACAATCCAAATGAATAGAGAAGTTTGGTACGGTGTTCAAGTGTCCATGTACGCATGTCTACATTTATAAGTTCATGAAATTCAGTCATGTGTTCCATTTCTCGGGTCACTAGGACTAGTTTGGAATGTACTAAGCATCTACCGATATATATGGCTTTTTTTAAAAGGCAGTTATTGTCTTTTAGCATTTATATCATATTCAACAAAGTCCTTAATCAAAAAAAAAAAAAAAAACTGAAAAAGGTCTTTAGTTCCACTTCCAGTCTTTTTTTTTTTAAATATTAAAAAAGTAGCCATGTGAAAATGCTTTATCTTCATTTTTTATGCAAATGTCATGGATCTCTGTTTCACGAAAGCACATAACACACTATGTATCATATAAATACCTCTTATTAAGATCGAAACATTCTTCTCTACAGATTATAAACCATGGAATATCATCATCAGTGGTTAAAGATGCACTAGATGCAGCTACAAGGTTCTTTGACTTGCCTGTCGAAGAGAAGATGCTTTTGGTTTCTGATAACGTTCATAAGCCAGTACGATACGGCACCAGCCTAAACCATTCAACAGACAAAGTTCATTACTGGAGAGATTTCATCAAACACTACTCCCATCCTCTTTCAAAGTGGATCAATTTATGGCCATCCAACCCTCCATGCTACAAGTAAGTTCACTATATGAACATTAAACAAAAAACTTGTTCTCTTTTGACTAGTATGAGAATCCAATTGCTCCATTAATTTTTTTTTTTAAATTTGTAACAAAACTCATAACTGATGTGAATCTCCTGAAACTATCCATTTCTTGTCAGGGAAAAAGTTGGGAAATACGCAGAAGAGACGCATGTGCTACATAAGCAACTAATTGAAGCTATCTCAGATAGTCTAGGACTGGAGAAAAGTTACTTACAGGAAGAGATCGAAGAAAGCTCACAAGTCATGGCGGTGAACTGCTATCCAGCTTGTCCAGAACCCGAGATTGCATTGGGAATGCCACCACATTCGGACTTTAGCTCACTGACAATCTTGCTCCAGAGTAGCCAGGGGCTACAGATAATGGACAGCAACAACAAATGGGTTTGTGTGCCGTATATCGAAGGAGCTTTGATAGTTCAGCTGGGAGATCAGGTAGAAGTGATGAGCAATGGCATATACAAGAGTGTGATCCATCGTGTGACACTGAACAAAGATTTCAAACGGTTCTCTTTTGCAAGTCTTCATAGTCTACCTATGCACAAGAAGATAAGTCCAGCACCTCAGCTCGTCAATGAAAACAAACCAGCTGCTTATGGAGAATTCAGCTTCAGCGATTTCCTTGACTATATCTCAAGAAACGATATTACACAGCAAAGATTCATCGATACACTCAAGAAGAACAACTCCTGAAAAGTGAAGATGGTGTTGATGACTGCAACCCAGATCATACAATTCAACAAGGCAATTTCTACATTTCGGATTGGACGGACGTAAGTTGCATGCATCTTGTATTTAATCTCTATGGTGAGATAGAATCACTAAAAGAGTATCACAAAAAAAAAAAGCATGAGTAAATTTTATGCATGTAAATTGTACTTGTTTTAGTGTTTATATATCACATGAAATCATATAATTAGTTGTCATATAGGCTCCGGAAGCAGTACCATGTCAAACGACAAAAAGCACCCAAAGAAAACAGAGACAGAGATTCCACTTAATCAATAAATCCGGAACAAATAGTAGTTTTACTATCTTTTTTTTTTGTTGTTATATTTTTAGTTATTCATCAGTAATCAATCTACTCAGAGAGTGAAAAAGTTAAGGTTGTCTCCCTTTGGACCACAAAAACAAAGTAGTCACTTTGTATCATCATGCATTACTTTTAATCAGCAAGGAGGTCCTTGGCTTTTACAATCTCAAGTTTATCAAATCTCACAAAAGTCCCAAATGCAATGTAGTCACTTTGGTCAAAATCCTACAGACTTGCTCGTAAATAATTCTTAAGCAAACCAGCGCGTACCGAAACAGGGGATTCAAAGACTAAACAATAGATACTCGAACAAAAACGAGATAAAATCTTACAAAAACTACCAAGAGCAGATCTAGAAGCTCGATTTCGTTACCAAAAGAAATAAAAAGAAAATAGTCGAGCAACTTACGGGAAGGCAATCAATAACGATAATAACTTTTTGCCGGCAATCTCTCTAAGTTAATTTATTCACCGCCCTAGCTTCTCGGTCCCGTCGGCTGATCCCCGGTTAAACCTTCACACCGTTAAATTTATCGCCAAGCCTTATTAATTTATTTACTTTTTTTTTTTTAATCGCGAATCCCATTTTATTTACTGCTCGTTGGTGTATAAAATTTAAATAGAACTTTCTTACCGTATCTTGATTTTAAAACATTCTCGAAACCGGATAAGCTTCCACTGACCCAAATGAGTGTCTGAAAATAACAATGGCCGTATGAATCTAATCTTAAAAAATAAGATTATTAATTCTGACTGGTTGAAACCGGCTTTCTATATTTTATGGAGTACGGTTTTAATTCGCACCTTGTTTTTCTTCATTTTTATTAATAGATATTTTCAGTAGATATAATATTATAGTATTTCAAAGTGTGATAGTTTCTACCTGATGCAAAGAACCAACCAAGTTGTTTCGCATGTCGACGTAAGAGAGACACTACTCAAGTTAGTATGAAGACAAAAATAAAATAAAAGAGCTTTCAATGTCTTTTTTTTTTTTGTTCAAGCCTTCAATATCTTCATTTTTTCTTCCATATGAAAGCCTATCATGTCTTTTAAACCATATAGTCATAAATTCTATACTTATAAAGAGAAAAATCCTTATTTTTTTTTTTTCTTTTTAGATCGTAGAGATTCTGATGGTGGATTAATCATTTATGTGTATATATTGTGAAATTCATTTAAAATCATATAATTAAAAGAAGATTCCTTAAAGCCAAAAACATGTTTTTGTTCAAAAATGATGAAATAGCAAAAAATAAGTATATAATATTGGTTGTTAAGACTATATGATTTCTAACTATTTTGATATAAATTTCCATTAGTTTTTCATTACGACTAAACGTATGTTGTGATTCCCTTCAGTAATTCGGTGATTCGTAATACTTGCCTACTTGGGAGTTGAGTGGGGTGAGTTTGAAAAGAAAATAACAAATTGGGGTAAATCAGAACTTATTGATATAATATGGGGCCGATATGGTGAAAAGGAATTACTGAAAAGGTCTTGTTCTGCTTCGCCGTCTCTGCGCTGACGTGAGTGCTTTTCTCGTTCCTCTCGGGGCCAAAAAACAAAAAGGAATGACGGAGGAGGAGGTAGCGATGGAGATGGAAGCTGTAGAAGCAGTTTACGGCGAAGAATGCGTCATATTGGATTCTTATCCTCCTCATCTTCACCTCCACATCAAGCCCCGTACCGCCGAGATCTCTTCTCAGCAGGTTTTTCCCCGTCTTTGATGTATTTTTTTCTTTTATCATCGTTCTTCGATTCTGCGGAAACGAGAACTGCGTTTTCTGTTTTTTTGCTAAACCCCAAACTATCGGAGAAGAGGAGAGAAACACGGACATTGAGATTGTCAGATTAGGGATTTGGCGTTGTTGGTAGATTGGCCAATCGTTCTATCAGTAATTTGGCTTAGAATTCGATCGTAAGCAATAGAAAAGCTTCAAAATTTAAAGCTAAAGTGGATGCGAAATGGTTCGGTTGCTTTGCGAGTATGATTTGACGCAACTGCAATCTGCGACTTGGATAGACCAAAATTTTATCATTTTTATCTAGGAAGAACACAGTGATCCTCTGATAAATCAATAGATTATGATTGATTTTTATTTTTGTAAATGCATGTCGTGCCTTTTGATGACATTGTGGTAATGCTCACCGTAGTTTTGCTCTGCAGTTTGTGGAAGCAGTTGTGAGAATACAGGCAGGTTATAAGGTAAATTTGGTTCCTATGTCATTATAATTATGGCTGTCTTGTTGTTGAGCTAAAAGGTATCTTCTTTTGTTGTTACAGTATCCAGACGAGCCACCTCGAATCAGCCTGATCGAATCCAAGGGTCTTGATGAGCAAAGGCAAAAGCATTTGATGGGGTTGGTTCAGAAGAAAGCTTCTGAACTATCATCTTCTCTGATGCTGGTAGAACTTTGTGAGGTAACAACTCTTTATATTTTCGTGAATTCTAGTGTCCCCTATGTGGAGCAATTCTCCATTACTGCAACATGCTACTGCAAATCTCAGCATTTTACTTCATTGTGTAGATGATCAAATGAACGAATGGTAGATACTAGATGTAGCATAATTGAAAGGAAAAAAAGCATATGCAGATTAAGAAAAAACTAAGTTTGCTGAATCACGAACAAACGATGTGCATTATGTGTATCTGCAAATTTTTTTCTCAAGTAGTGTAACAAACATTTATGTATCTAGGAAGCAGTTGAGAGGCTCACGATTATGAATCACCCGGATGGAGATTGTCCACTGTGTTTGTATCCGTTATTCCCTGAGGATGGCGGGAGTAAACAAATGCCATTTATGAAACTGATGTCTTGCTTTCATTGTTTCCACTGGTAAAGAATCGTTAACCTCAGCTACGGTTTTTGTTTCTCTCTTTCTCTCTTTCTCTCTTTTTCTCTCTCTCTTATTTCGGGAGTATTTCCAAATGACAGCAAATGTTTAGGTATCTAATAGTTCTTTATTGATTTCAAGTGATCAGTGAGTGCATCATTAGGTGGTGGAATTGGCTTCATACGCAGAAACAAGCTGATTCAGAAAATGTTGACACTTTACATCTGCGTAGAGAAACAAGTGACCAAGAAGGTTCGTACGATAATGTCTTTTTGATGGAAACTGGAAAAGATCGGTTCTTTTCAAAAAATCTAAATACAATAAGTATTTGCAGGTAAATCTGGATCAGCAGATAAAAACTTGGGAAACTGTCCAGTGTGCCGCAAAGTTTTTCATGCGAGTGATATTGAACATGTTCTCGACTTAGTCGGTGGTGCTCAGTCATTCCAAGAGGTGAGTGAGCCATCAATTTCAGATCATTTTTCTTTTTTTGCGTTGGATAAAGTCGACCTTCAATCTAAATCCAAGATTCAACTTTTATTCTTTCTTTTATTAACTTCATCTCAGCTTTTGTTTGTTTTGGAACGAACAGGATGCTGGTTTTATACACGGTGAGGATGAAGATCCGCTGCTCCAGTCAGATTCAGAGAACATGAGAAGGGAGCGGTTTGAGGCTATACTTAAGACACAGGAAGAAAAAGGTGGTCTGGTTCAACCGAAGAAAAACATATCAGTTGTGCCCGGTATGTATCTTCCTCCACCAGCTCCTGCGTCATCTTCATCAAACGAAGAAGAAGCCGGTCAAAGTCAAGAACGAGGAGAAGTAGAGCCCAAAGAAGCTGAATCAGAGACAAACACTAGCAGCTCCACCAACAGGAGAGGCCGAGGCAGAGGCAGAGGCCGTGGCCGTGGACATAATGTCAACAGAAGTAAGCAGAATTCGCAAGATCCAAGGAAGCCGACGAAGCAATGGGTGCAGAGAAGTTGACAAAAGTCATGGATTATTTAAATCTCGAGAGAGACGGACATCAAATTCCGACTCGAAACACAAGATTATACTTAATAAAACTTAAGATATTGGGCCAAGAATCTTTCGTTTTTACAACTTGTAAATGCCTGTGAGCTTTTTTTTGGGTGGTTAGTGAGACGAATGTGCTTGTCGGGTCGATATTGTCCACTGAAATCAACCTCTGATGAACATTAATAATTTTTTCTCTTACAAGAAAAAACGGAAGAAAGAACGAAAATTTTTTTAAAAAAGAAGTAGAAGAATAAGAGGAAAATAATCAAAACATAAAGAAAAATACAAAGTTAATGACAAAGAAGTTAAAAAAACGAGAAAAAAAACAAACAAAAAGTTGTGATTAAGAAGAAGAAAAGAGACAGTGTTGAAGAAGACAAGAATAAGGTGAATAGGAAAAGAGATGAAGAAAAAAGAGTAGAAGAAGAAGAATGTGGATAAAAAAGTCTAATAAAACTAAAAGAAGTACAAGAAAAAAAAAACTCAAAGAATACAAAATGATGATGAAGAATTCAAAGATGATGAAATAGAAGTAGGAAAGTATGTGGAAGAAAAGAAAACAAAAAAAATAAAGAAGAAGAAGAAGAAGACATAAGAGAAGAGGAAAAAGATGTAGAAGTCAAACGCGATGATGACGATTAAAGAAAAATATGAAGAATAAAAATAGAAATATAGATTTAAGAAGAGAAAGAACACAAAGCAGTAGAAGTCGAAGATGATGAAGAATAAGAAAGAAAAGATGGGGAAGAAGAAAATCCAAAAGGTGAATAAGAAGAAGAATCAAAAGCTGAAATTCATGAAGTAAGGGAAGAAGGAAATGATAAAGAACAATAAGAAAAAAATTATAAAAAAGTAAAATATATAGGACAATACAAAGATGTTAAAGGATTTTGACAAGAAAAACCATAAGAAGAAGAACAAGAAGACAAATGACTTAAAATGGGAGAAGAAGAAGAAGAAAACCATAAATAAAAGGCAAAATGGAAAAAGGAAAATATAGGAAAAAAAAACTAGATGAATACCTTATTGAGGATAATGTAAATGAGGAAAAGAAGATGAAAAATTTATAAAAAAAGAAGAATAGTCGAAAGAAAAAGAAAAAAAAAAGTCAAAGAAAAAGAAAAAAAAACCTATAATATTTATGTATTATTCATGCATATATGATAATATATTTTTTTATAGTTCATTGCATATATAAACCATAACAGACATATATAATCTGTTTTATTTTTTTTTAAAAGATAAAAAATACATTTAGTAAAAATAAATATTTTCAAATGATACCGTTTACTCTGTTTTAATTTCAAATATTTCAATAACACAAATGATGCAAGATGACAGTTTGATATTTTCAACACATTCTCAAAATTTATAAAAATATAGTGACAAATTTCATCACTTGGTTATGTTTTAATTAATAAGACCGCACAAGGCGCGGACAAACTACCTAATCCTATAATTATATTGAATACTCACGGGTTGATCTTCAATATGGTCATTAACTAATGTTTTACCGTCGCTTTGTTTGGTAACTGTGGGTTTGCCGTCTGATTGGTCCATCCGTCCATGTATTGGTTTTACCCTCACTTTATTACATATTATGGTTTTAACCTTTGATTGTGTCCATATTTTATGTTCTTACCCTCGGTTTATTTAGTAATTATGGTATTACCCTCTGGCTGCTTCATATTTATGTCTTTCTCCTATACTTTTCTTGTGTCTCATCTATCTTACCAAAGTTTGAAACGGACAAGTGTCGAACAATTAGAAACCGCACAAGATTGGGCCCTAAATATTTTATTGGGCTTGGGCTTAGTAGGTTACTAATTGGTCTAAACATATCGCTTAACCGGTTAATGATTTGAGTGGGAAATTACTGTTTTACAAACAATATTAGCTTCACCGGTTTGTAGTGGCCACCGTCGTTCTGAATTCAATAGTAGTGTAATCGCCGGCGGCGATTCTGCTCATTTGTTCGATGTCCTCTCCATCAGCGGTCGCCGATCTCTTGGCCGCGCTTGCCTACCGGCTCCAGAATGGAAATCGAGTTGTCGAAGAAGAACTGGAACAGTCTTGCTCGTCTTTGGGACTCGCTATCTCGGAGCTTCACCGATCTCTGACTCTGGACATCGGCGGCGAGGATTCTGGGATTAGAGTTTTGGATGCGGCGATATCTCTAATGTGTTTCAAGGCACCTCAGGTTAGTAAAAAAAAAAATTCTCATTTGCATTCTTTCTGTATATACATGTCCCGGTTTCTTACTTGTACGTTTTTTTTTTTTGTTGGAAAATTTCTTCTTAGGTTTTTGATTCGGCGATTGAGTATTTGGTGCAAACAATTGTTTGCGTCTTATCATCTTCAGTCAATTGTAAGGTCCTTAGGTATCGAAACGATGAAATATTACAGTTTGGAAGCTCGAATTTACCTCACTGCTCTGAAGAATTGATCGAAATCTCTAAGGACATTATCGATAAACTGGGGGCAAACGGTGGGTGTAGTTTATTCTTTTCCTTAGTGTTATCTTAAGATTTTAAATCTTTTGTTTTCTCATATTTGTTTTGCTGACTGGCAACTGTTTATATATAGGAAGATTGACTACATTGTTGTTTCAAGCTGTTGTAAGATCAGCAGCTTCAACATCATGCAGCGTTATCGCGCATAGAAATTCAGTGGATAGAAGAAATAGGGCTGTCTCCAAACTTCTTGCTTACTTACCGATAGAATCATCTATAGAGGACCACGAGACACCACTGAGGTTTTGACCTCTTCTTGTACTGTTCTTGTCTGAAGCTGTGTTAGTCTACATTTTCGAGTTCTATTTGTCGTATTAGTCGATGGAATTTGTAAAACTGAAGCCACGGCTTCTGCGATGTTTGCTCTCTTGTTTCAGAAAGTAGACCAGTCTGACACTTTTTGATGACCAGGATCCTGTTCTGGTATCAAGATCCATTGTCTTTCAAGGAAGATATTTCCAGAATTTTGAAAGATGTGGTGGAGAGGCCTTTCCTTTGTCTAAAGAAGGAGCTCTTCGAGAGTGCAGAGTGGCGCGATATTGTCATCTGCTTAGCCCTCTCTCCTTCTATGTTTATCAACGCCAGAGCCCTCTTACATAAATGGTTTTTGCTTACGTGAGTTCCTGCCCGATTCTTGTCACGGAAATCTACAATATTGGACACGTTTTATCCTTATGCTGTGTCATCTCTAGCTTCCCATCTTTCTTGCATTCTAATGCAATTTCATTCTTAACGCCAGGGGACTTGCTACAGTCTTCGAATTACTTGCCGCGTTGGTCTCTGCAATAGTGGACACAATTTCAAGACCATCGTTGTGGGGTATACCAATGCAACTAGCTTCCTTGTTGCCATTCTCTGATGCATACTTTCCTTTCCAGTGTCAATTTCTGAGAATCTTGGCTGGTCCTTTCACCTCCAACTCCCTCGTAATGTTAGCTCATACTGTCAGTGTACCATTTGCTGTTCATGGGCGACAACGACGGGATACTAATTGCAAGCCTACTCCAGCAAAATTTCAAGCATTGGATGACAAAACCGAATGGTAACTTTACATGAAAATGCAAATTATTTCCCACATTTTTGATATATAAATATATACGTGCATGTGTGTGGTTTTTGAATGTCAGTTGTATCTTCTGGCAGGGCTTTGGCTATTAACTTCCCAGAATGGTTTTATTTTGCTTCTGTTATGCTCTTCTCAGAAGGAAATTCGTTAGAAAATATCCACCATAGATACACTTCACAAGTGGCTGATGCATGTGATGTGGAAGATCTCTCCATTGGTGCGGCTACATACATTGCTTGGATTCTAAACCCTGTAAAAGGAACCATTCAAGAATCACTAAGTAAGTCTCTCATTAGAGTCTCAGAGATATGTACCCAAAAACGTTGCTGCTCAGAAGCACATTCTAGTGAGACTATAACTGGCAAGAGAAAAAAACGAGATAGGCTCGATTCTGGCAAATTAAAGGCTTCCAGTATTGTGGAAGACCTGGTCAGAGAATTTCACAGCAAAGTCACCAGTTCATTTTCTTATGAATTAGATTCTCGTAAAACGCATCCATCTTTGAGCTCTGGCCTTCGAAACAATTTTTTGGTTAGAAGTGTGGTGGTTGGCGTACTGATTGGTTCTCCATATTCAGTAACAGATGAGGAGTGTGAAATGGTACTGCACTATGTTGCAACTGGGAAAGTTCTCGCCATTAAGAAATCACGGATTAGCGGATTCAAACAAGCAAAGGGATGCCCTAAATTAACTGCTTTGTTGTCAAATGAAATTACCAAGGAGGAGGCAATTGAAGGCGCACGTCTTGTTTTCAACTTAACCGACACTCTGGAGAGTATGTGTGTATCAAGTTTTGAAGCTGAAGAGGATGCCCAGGAGTTTATTAACCAGTTTAAGCTAAGATCCAGCAAGTATTTGGTCAAATGCATCGACCGCCTGATTCAACTTCACTGTGAAGAAGATGGAGATACAATACTAAATGACCTGCATATCAGACTGCTACAATGGACGATAAAAGGACCAGAAGATCCGCAGCTCAACGAAGATCTTGATATCATCACTGCTAAATTGACCTGCATATTCTCGCTCGTCTAACTGCCATCCTTCATCCCGACTTGTGTCATATTTGGTGGTACACATGTTTTTGGGGAAAATGGTGATCAGATATGAACTGTTTAAAGCACTCACACGACTGGAAAAAGATAGTACTGACGTTCAGGTAACTGAACTTGTTTGCCTTCTTTTGTTTATTTTTTAAAATACTAGCACAATCAGAAGTACGATATCTAGTTCACTAGTTTGTTTAGAGCCTACAAGTTCTAATGGAGCTTTAAATTTAATATTATTCCTCTTTTGAACAGACCCTTTGTTTTTTTCTTCTTACTGTTACACTATCTTTGATCATCATAACATGCTTACTTTTGACCCTTTATATTTTAGCTCCACAAATTCATTTGTCTGGATTGGACCAGAGGAATTGGACGATTAGATGGTGAGCCTTGCAACTACTTGATGCCTTTTGTCATGCTCGTAGACTGAGTTTTCGTCACAAGTTTTTCTTTATTTCTATTGTGTGAATCCCTAACTAGGGATAAAGACAAGAGGGGCCATGGGAAAGATTATATGTCTATTGGGTTTTGGGAGTGACAACAGGTAAGAAGAAATACAGAGAAGAAGATTCTGTAAATCATCCAAACCATGTGGTTTCACTTTCAGACAAGAAGTGTCAGATGCCAACTCTAGACGACCCCACACCAATCCACTTGGAGTTGGAGAACCTTACATGAAAGCAGTTCGTAATTTCGTATACATATGTACCGCAGCAGAGATTTTACCCCTCACTAGTTTCTTGTTTTATACTTACCATTTTTTTATAAGCTCTGCAACTTTCGGAAAAATAAGAAAATGTTACAGTTATAAATGAAATGGCATAAAACAAAGAGTTATGAATAAACACGACTTTACGAATATTTTTAGCTAGGTACAAAATAATGCAATCTTCCCTGTCACAGGATTGCTATCATTAAATATATTATCCTTATATCAAGAAAAAAAATGTCAACATTTAAGTGGGGGAAAAAAAATAGATGACAACTATATTTGACATCACCATGCTAAAAGAAGTGATCAAGGAAAAATAAAAGAGCCAACGATAGTTTTTGGTCGTACTTCAAGAATTTAAGAATTGAAGCTTTTGTACTGTTAAGAATAAATATCTCTCGCTCTATGTATATATATATATATGCATATATATTACATAATACGTTATCCTATTTGATTGAGTATGATCGAGTGCATACCGTTTGAAGAGATTCCATGAACAAAGCAGAGAAACTTGTTAAAGCTTGGAACACACCAGGCAACCCTGTCTGCAGGTTATTAAGAGTCATGGCTCTTGTCACTTCTATTGCCTTTGAATGTTTCACCATCTCCTCCTCTACTCTCCTTTGGCAAACCGCAAGCTCTGTTTTTTTATCGCTTAGCGGATCTCGAGCGTCTAACATGTGTTGGCTATCAGGTCCTGAATCAGGTAAACCGACACCGACCATTGAGTATGACTGGTAATATTTCCTCTCTAGGTTTCTAAGCGACGAAGCTTTCTTCTCGAGCTCTTTTGATGCTGATTCTGTTCTTCTCTTTATCTTGAGTTCATCAGCTTGTTTCGTCGATATCACATGCACAACGTTGATGAAGCTTTTGATTGCTTCGGATGCGACTGTATCGGGAACACGGTCTAGAGCAAGTTTCCACTCATCGCAGAACGCGTAAGCATCGGTTGGCTCTTTGGCAGCGGCATCTTCGTGGCAGACCGGAACAAGTGTTAGTTTGAACCAGGCGTGAACCGAGTGTATGAAGTCACGCTGGAATTTGATCAGATGACTAAAACTGGAGTGCCAAGAAGAGACAGCTGATTCTAAGTCACGAGTCGCTTGTCGATGTAGCTCTGAGGTTGATTCGCCTTTGCCTGATCTATTGATCAGCCCTCGAACTTGCTGCACGATGCTGTTCTGAGTCTCGTGAAATTGATGCATAGCTTTCCACATGTACATAAAACTGCATCAGGTTAAAAAAAAAATACACAGATTAATATCTCCAAACTTTTAGTTCAGTGACATATTATGATTTTGTCAAACAAAATGTCTCAAATTGTTGCAGAAATCACAGATAATACCAGTGACCAGAAGATATTCATCTCTGCCGCAACTAGATATTATAAGGTAAGCCTAACCCATGATGTTATTGCCTCTAACTTTGAGATATACTTTACCAATTTCAGCAGTTTACTAGTTAGTTTGACAGGATAGGCTGTAAAACTTAAGAAGCTAAGAACTAAGCTGTAACAATAGATAAGAGAGGTAAGGCACCCTTTTTTTTTGTCTCACTTTAGGCATATCATTATCAAGGACCACAGAATTCTGAAACGCATGGCCTCAAAATTGTCTAATAATTGTTCACCTACTTATTGATGAGCCCATGAGATTCTTTTAATAGATATGAAAAAGTAGGTAGAAGTGAATAGAATACTAACTAAAGAGACCAAATGTGTAAATAATGATTGCTTGCCAAAAATGTCAATTTCCAAAAAAAACTGTTGGATCACAAGGTAATATCAAACAGCTGGTGACTCACTTATTAAAGACAAGAGGAAACTTACCCATGACAGAGTTCAATGAGTTGAGGAACAAGGTCGGTATCACGAAGACGGATTATGGCAGTAGATGTAGTTGTAACAGCTTGAGATGTAACAATTATCAGTGACTGTAACCTCGTAATTGAGGCCTTTGTCTTGTCTAGCTTAGCTTCATCCTCGCCTTTATACTCTTGACTTTGAAGTTGCGACAACTTCTTCTCGTGCTCAATCTTGACGCCTTCTCTAGCCTGGAAAAAAAAAAAAAAAATCAGTTACCAACAATCAAAAGTAAAAACTTACAAGGCCTGATTTTTAGTCAAAAGTGTAAGAGACCTTGATTTCTTCATACAGCTTCTTCTCCCATGCCAAGAGACGGTCAAGAGTGGAACAGAGGCTCTTCAGACTGTTCGGTTGATCCAGCGCCGTCGTGTCCAGCCTGTATTTGACTGCCAATGGCGGCTTCGAGGTCCATGTCGAGCTCAGGTTGCTTAATATGCTACTCGAATGAATCACCGTTTCTAATAAACAAAATTTTCACAATGTCACGCCTACTCAAATCCATCAAAGAACATAACGAAACAAATTCTAACTCACTCTTCAATTGGCTGAAACTCCGGTCAAGCTGAGCTCTGCCGAGCTCAAGCATCTGAGATACTTGATTCCCGGCGGCGGCCGCCTTGTCGAAATTCTCCTGGATCGCGTCAGCGATTTCTCTCAAGTCCCTATGCCTAACCACCATCTTCATGTCGGCGATCTCTCTTCCGCCTCTATAGCTACCGGAAGATATCGTCGCATCATCTGCTTTCTCGTTATATCGTCCGTGTTCACCGCCGACGTATTCTTCCGGCATCGGTGAAGGTTGCTGGTGTTGCCGACCCATCGAAAAAGTTCTCCCGGTGGATCCGAAGTCGGAGCGCGTCCCGATCTCAGAAATCGACTCCCTATCGTCATCTTCCTCCTCCGTGGCGTCCGAGGAGGTCGTAGTGCTGTAATGATCGTGAACGTCCCATTCGCTACACTGTACTTCCTCTCTCTCCGTCTCCGTCTCCACCTCCACCGCACTGCTCACTGATTCAAACTGCTTCTGCTTACTCGAATGGAAGAAATCATACTCTGACCTCTGTGTTTCGGTATCATCGCTAAAAGGATTATCGGGTTTCTGTTTCTTCTCTTGAGCCTTCCGATCGAAGAACTCGGAATCGGGAGGAGAAGGAGGGTAGAAATTCTCCCAGTTCCAGACGGAGGAGGCATGTGAGGGAGTAGCGGAGTAAGTGGAGTTCTGGTAAGCGCCGGGATAGAAATTCGGCATGAAATTGGATCTCTCACTCATCGGAGAAGACGAAGGGCTTGACTCCGAGAGAATATGAGGCAGCTTTGGTTTGGGTTGCTGTTTCCTTCGTCGATTGGAAGAGGCGGACATGATTGGAGGATGCTTGTGCTCGGTACTTGCAACGGAAGGAGACATTGAAGGAGGAGGAGGATGAACAGAAGAAGGAGCAGGCGACGGCGGAACACGTGGAGGGATAAGGTTGACCGGCGATTGTTCAGAAGGAGGAGGTTGGAGGAAAACTGCCGGAGTCTGATCAGACACAGAGAGAGGCTCACCGGCGGCGAATGAGGAAAGAGCAGATCCAGTGAGACGAAGCGATCGGCAGTAATCGGCGTGAGCGGCGGCGAGATGATGACGAGCGTAGACAGCTTCTTTCATCAGACGGCGACGATCTTTACACCGTCGAACAGTATCCTCGCTATCGAGCTTCGACGCCGCACACCCCATCTCTTCTCCTTCAGTTTTCTTCTTCTTCAGCTTCGTTTACGGTGGCGCGTGAGCTCACGCTAGCTATGCATTTTTCCAAAACAGAATCATACAAAAGGAGAGAAAGATAGGCTATAGCTGTTTTTCCAGATTTTCCACTCTTCACTACACTGTGGACTCGATTTTCTCATCTTTATCGGAGAAAAAGAAAACATAACCGACAAAAAAATAAATATTTAAACAAAATCATTTTCCTCGACTGATAAGCGACTCAGTGACTGTCACTAATACCTGGACTAATCTTTACCTTTCGGTTACTTTATTTCTTAGTTAAAAATAAATAAAAAAGTTAGAATAGACAAATAACTCGACATTTTCTGACAAAATTATTAACCGTTACCAGAGCCGACATTATAATATTAGGATGGTTAATCAGATCATTCATCAAACGAACTACTATTATACTCAGTGACACAAGAAGACAATTTGTGATTGACGTATAAAGAAAGTCAATTTGTGATGAACGAAACTCTTTAATAAACAGCTCTTCTATATTGTGAATCAAATTATCGCGAAGCAAAAAAAAATATAATCGTAGTCGTAGATCTGAGGCTTCTGAGGTATACAGGTCCAAAGATGGAAAGAATGCCGATAAAAAGGAAAGTGGAAAAAAACGGCAGGATGGTGAAAAGTTGAAGCTGAAAACGGTGAAAAGTGTTACTTTTCTTGTTTGAAAAAGTCTTTAACGAACAGAACAAAACCACATGCATTTTTCCTTTTTAGCTTTCTAGTTTCTTTACCAACCACTTTGTTCCAAAAGACTCATCATCATCGCACCGCCTTTAAAACCGACCCCTAAACTGTGGACTTTATATGTTTTGTTTTCATAAACTGTTGTCCTTAATTAACTATGGGAGTTATGGGACCAAGAGCATCTAATTAGTAATACACAAATTGCTGAAAATTAAAGATCACACGTATGCGCATTCATTTCAATTCACCATTTGTGGTTTCTCAAGGACAGATTGAGTAGCCACCATTTTGAAAAGGAAATAAAAAAAGTGCATAGAAATGTTGCAATATATACAACAACTAGGCAAAACACAAGACATGTATGTGTTAATTTTTCGCAGTTCACACTAAGATTCTACAATCAGAAGCTGTAGATTTTAAGGGGAGAAACTACAAGACCATGAAAGGTTTTATTTTGACAGACTTCTCGCTCTGAAGATTGCATTTTGAGATAATTGATGCCTATTATGAATACTTGTCGACCAATTTGCATGATGTCACTCGAACAATGTACAACAAAAATTTCACCGTTATTCTAATATCTTTCTTAGTTAATACGGCCATGGATCTTGCTCTGAGATCCTAATTAAACAACAAGGAAAAAACTCAAGAAGGCAAGAAACTTGTCGAAAGGACGTCCAGCTCAATTGTCGTTGTCCACTAATTGGTTCTTGTCTTCTGAAGATTTATAATGGTTCTTGTCTTCTGAAGATTTATAATGGTACTATTCAAAAAAAAAAAAGATTTATAATGGTCAATACTGCTTTACTTATTTTAATAATTAATTTTGCTTGAATAGGGGGTGTTAAGCTCTTAAGAATCTCGGAATATCCTGATTAGCGTAGAAATTTAAATATTCCCAACATCATGGATCACCACTATCCTGTATTTTTTAATATAGAAACTAGAGATCTTGAGACACGTTCTAATAATAGGGACCCTTTTTCTAAATAATGCGATTAAGGCAACCTTGAGGAGGTTCGAAATAAAGAATTTTTTGATCGAATTATTTTGACGCGTGTGCCAATTGTTTCCTTTTTTTCCGTGTGTGTGTGTGTGTCCCTCTAACCATTTCAATAGACAAAAACAGAGGTCAATGCCTTTAGACATTGTGAATTAACATCTTAGTCAGATTATTTTGACTTTTGAGAAATTTGCCTCTCCTGGTTGCTAGGAGCACAAATTTACAGATCTAGGATTCTTACGGAGGTAAAATGTTAATAAATAGAAGAAACCTAAACAATAATAGGTTTAGTTTAGATTTTTTACAACCTTAATGCCGGTAAATGCTGAGAGGCTCCTTCTACGTCTTCAAATGTACATTGGTAATAACGAATATTCGTTTTCTCAGATAATTATTTCTTTCTTCCTTTTTTTAAAATTAATTTACGGTAAATATATGATGGCAACAAGTTAAAGGGCTTTAATGACAGACAATTAGGAAAAGAAAAAAAAAAAGGTTGAATGGCATTTTGACTGATTCAGCTTTCTTCTGCATTGGGTTAATCTGGCCGGCAAATCTTTGATCTAGTTATTATATAGACCCTCTTGGTCTTGTTTATTTGTCTCAACTCTCCAGATTTGCGCCTCGTTTCAAAAGCTTGCCCTGTTTCTTTTTGTGAAGGTCAAGCTTTGAAGGGCTAAAGGGTGATGCTTTGGTGAACGTTTTTTTCTGTTCCAGGTATGTGTTTATTCTGCATTCCTCGTCTTAATTCATTCACAGGTCTGCATAAATTTCGATTGAGTAGTTTTCGTTTGAGCCGAATATGTAGAAGAGATGATATCTTCAGGCACAAGGCAAATGTATTCTCTCTAAAATGATGGATAAAATAACTTAACCTCTTGCAGGATTCCATAACTGAATTTTAATAACTTCCTGCTCAAGCAAAAAAAAAGGAAGTTCGATATGACGGAGATATCAGAATCTCTCAAGGCTATCACCACGGAGAGCATTGATTTGGTATGTATTTTCTCTGACTCCCTCTGCTTCTGACAAGTTATCAAGAAAAATAGGATCAAATGCGATCTCTCATGGATCGTTGCCTTGCAGGAAAATGTTCCCGTTGAAGAGGTTTTTCAACATCTCAAATGCACGAAAGAAGGGTTGAGCTCCAATGACGTGCAGGAGCGACTTACCTTATTTGGTTACAACAAACTTGAGGAGAAAAAGGTTTTAGAAAAAATTATCTTACATTTATCTATTAGGTTTTTTTTCTTTTGTTGATCTCTCTCTCTTTTGTTTTTGTTGTGTTGATATATCATTATATTTGGTTCTGCAGGAGAGTAAAATACTCAAGTTCTTGGGGTTCATGTGGAATCCACTTTCATGGGTCATGGAAGCTGCAGCCCTCATGGCCATTGGTCTTGCACATGGAGGAGTATATCTTTTGCTCCTTGTCAATATTAATTAGTCTTTTCTTCTTCTTCTTCTTCTTCTTCGACGATATGTAATTAAGTGAAATTGTGGAAAACAGTTTTGAGATACTGATGAAACTAATTTGTCTCCAAAAATTTCAGGGCAAGCCACCGGATTATCACGATTTCGTGGGTATTGTGGTCTTACTTTTGATAAATTCAACAATCAGTTTTGTAGAAGAAAACAATGCCGGAAATGCGGCTGCTGCTCTCATGGCTCAGTTAGCCCCTAAAGCCAAGGTATATATTATTCCTTGTTGTTGTTGCCATTAAGATGGTTGTAATTAACTATATAGTAGCTTATTTACTAATAAAATTGTTTCAGGCCATCCGCGATGGGAAATGGAACGAGATAGATGCAGCCGAGTTGGTTCCAGGAGATATAGTTGCTATCAAGCTTGGAGATATCATTCCTGCTGATGCTCGTCTTCTTGAGGGAGACCCTTTAAAGATTGACCAGGCAAGTTCTCTGCTTCTTCTATACATGCTTAATTCAGGAATATTATAACTCTCTCTCTCTCTCTCTCTATGGACTAATCTTGGAATAGATTTATCTTTTCTCCAGTCAGCACTTACAGGTGAATCACTTCCGGTAACCAAAAATCCTGGTGCTTCAGTGTACTCTGGCTCAACTTGCAAGCAAGGTGAGATTGAAGCGGTTGTTATAGCAACTGGTGTCCACACTTTCTTTGGAAAGGCAGCTCATCTTGTGGACAGTACTACCCATGTTGGTCACTTCCAGAAGGTTTGTTCACACTTGTCTTTTGGAGTGTACAAAACTTTTGTGTATAAAAATAATGAGTAAATACAAAACTTTTTGTGTATTGAATTTGGCAGGTTTTGACAGCAATAGGAAATTTCTGTATCTGCTCGATAGCAGTAGGAATGGCGATTGAAATCGTTGTGATATACGGTCTCCAAAAGAGAGGGTACCGTGTTGGTATCGATAACCTTCTTGTCTTATTGATTGGTGGAATCCCCATTGCAATGCCTACTGTTCTCTCTGTTACAATGGCCATTGGTGCCCATCGCTTGGCTCAACAGGTCAAATAATAACAAAAGTCTTTTTAAAAAGACAACTTAATTTTGTTTGGTTCTTGTGTTTCTTTATAATGACATTAATGGTAATAAAATCCATTTCAGGGTGCCATAACAAAGAGAATGACAGCCATTGAAGAAATGGCAGGAATGGATGTTCTGTGCAGTGACAAAACTGGTACTCTCACGCTAAACAAGCTTTCCGTTGACAAGAATCTAATCGAGGTTTGCATATCTTTCCTTCTCCATTATTCTTTTACTTTGTGGAGTTACATAGATCCTGATGATGTCACTAATTTCCATCTCTAATGTTACAGATTTTCAAGAGAGGCATCGACAAAGATATGGCTGTGCTTATGGCTGCAAGAGCTGCACGTTTAGAGAACCAAGATGCTATTGATACTGCAATCGTCTCCATGTTGTCTGACCCGAAAGAGGTATCCATCTTAAGACTATATTCAGTTACCATGTATTCAAATTACCATTTATTGAAAAGAAGCTTTTGTATTCAGGCACGTGCTGGAATTCAAGAACTCCATTTTCTACCATTCAGTCCAGCTAATAGAAGAACTGCACTAACATACCTTGATGGAGAAGGCAAAATGCACCGAGTTAGCAAAGGAGCTCCTGAGGAGATCTTGGATATGGCACACAACAAATCAGAAATCAAGGCCAAGGTACATGAGACAATCGACAAATTCGCAGAACGTGGCCTAAGATCCCTTGGGTTGGCATATCAGGTGAGACATAATTATTAACGTACTCTTTCGAAGTTAACTTAATTTAAGTGTGATATCTCCTCTGATTACGCTGTCAAATTTCGAATTATAGGAAGTACCAGATGGTGATGTTAAAGGTTTAGGTGGTCCATGGGACTTTGTAGCTCTGCTTCCTCTGTTTGATCCTCCTCGTCATGACAGTGCACAGACTATTGAGCGAGCACTTCATCTTGGTGTCAGT